TTTTTCAATAAGTAATTAAGATCAAAAGCCCAGACAGTAACAAGAGAGGTTTGTGGGAGAAGTGGCCAATGTCGGGCCCAGGGTCCATGCTCGAGGCTGGAAGCCCATCCTGGATATGCTGCACTCGGTGGTCCCAGTGTAACTCTGCAAGGCCCAGCCCTTGCCAGGGTCTGAGCTCTCCAGCCCCCTGTGGTGTCTGCTCCCCTCCAAGCCCGCCCCAGGTTCCAGTATCTCACTTGGAGAGAGAGGCTCTCATGGTCCCCACTCTGGCCCATCCCCCTCCGCACACAGCTGGCCAACCTCTGGGCCTCTGTGCTGTGGCCTGGGGATGGCAGGGCCTTTGGGATGTCTCTGTTCATGTGGTCATAGGACATGAGAGTGGCAGCAGGGCCAGGGTGAGGTGGGGTGCTGTTCCAAGACCCAGAACCATTCTGCAGGAAACCGGCACAGTGCTGGGAGAAAGGGAGTCATGGGGGGGACAGGCCACACAGGTGTGCTTTGAAAAATGGCATTTAAGGTCAAAGAGCAGGAAGTCCACAGGATGGGGACCAAGGCCAAGGCTCCCACTGGCCATGGGGAAGCCGCCTGCAGGGGAATCTGAGGGACTGAATTGGGAGTTGTCCCAAGTCACCTCGAGTCCAGCTGGGACAAAAGAGGTAACCCCTTATCCCCTCCTGGGGTAGCTTCTTTGAGTCCTAAATGTGGACTCAGAAGTGGAAACTGTCTGTGCCCCCAGGTCCTGCAGACATCCGCTTTGTCTGGGAGAAGAATGGGCGAGCTCTGGAGACCTGTGTCCCTGTGCAGACCCATGCACTGCCCGACGGCAGGGCCCATGCGCTCAGCTGGCTGCAGGACGCCATCCGGGAAAGCGCTGAATATCGCTGCTCTGTCCTCTCCTCAGCAGGGAACAAGACTTCGAAGGTGCAGGTTGCTGTGATGAGACCTGGTAAGTGATCCCCATGCTCACTGCAACCCTTTTAGGTGATTTTTCACTATTTACAATGGTAGTGAAAAAAAACATGCTGTAAAAGTATGCTTGCACGGTAGCATTTTGGGTTTGGGATTTATTGGCTTTCCACTGAGAAAGGTGGCCAGTGGGCATTAAGGGTGCTGTAAATGCCCGCAGAACTGTGATCTGGGGACCCTGCTTGTCTTCCAGAAGCGACCCACCAGGAGAAGTGGACCAGAGAGCTCTCCGCCTGGAGGGCTGTGGCTGGGGAGCACGACCGGATGATGCAGAGCTGGAGGAAGGCGTGGGTACGTGGCTGCAGCTGGGCAAAGAAAGGGGGCTGGAGCTGGGCCAGTGCCCCTGCCACCTCCATCTTTCAAGGGCCCCATTTGCATGGACTCCACTTGCTCCCCTTAGCCCCGGAGCAGTTTGCTTTATGAAACCTGCAGCTCTGCATGGGGAAATCCCATGTCTTGTTGCTGATGCTCCAGCAGATCAAGGGGCATCTGGCCCCAGCCCTTAAAGGAGACTGGAGGTGAGACTGGGAGGGACTCACGGGCAGGGGTGTCTGGTTAGATGGGCCTCCACAGCCACTGCATGCCCTGGACAGAACACTCGACCAGTCAGTACTTTGAGGAGAGCAGGAAACCTGGACAGGTGGAGGACTCTCCAGGTGGCTCCTAGCTGGGTACCTCACCTGCGGCACCTGCTGGAGGTGCGGGGAGTGGTTTCCTGAGCTAAGCCCTGGGCTACAGCACGGAAGTTGCAAGCAGCGGAGCAGAGGCTCCCTCGACAGGGCTTCCCCTACGGAGACAGTTGTCCAGCCCTGGCTCCCAAGTAGCCAATCCAGAAGACAAAGGCAGGGATTCATCACTGTGTGTGCTAGCACCCGGCCGTGGGGTCTGCAGCTGCCTCGATGAGTGTGTTAAAGTATGTGCTTTACGTGGCTGCCAGCAGATCCCCTGAACGGTTACCACCAAACGCTGAGCATTTGCAGCTGATCCTCTGCACTTGAGCACACACAGGTTCCCTCTCCAGCCCTTCTCCCTCTCAGGACCACCTGGGAGTTGGGCGAATGCGTTGCCGCCCTGCCTTCCTGTCGTATATGAGAACCACTCCTGCTATTTGGATCTTTAGACACTAAGGAGGGACACCACAACAGGGGGCTGGGACCTTGAGTGCTCTGCCTGGGATGGGCTACGAAACAGACTGGGCTGCAGAGCAGGAAAGGCCCATCTGTTCCAACAAGGATTCAAAGACCACATTGTTCTTTCAGGAAAGCTGTAGCAAGGACACCTTGTAGCCACCAGGAAGCAGACCCCGACACCAACCTCGACCCCAAGCAGACCCTGCCGCCACTGACCACAGCCACCCCTGGAGAAGGCCTGGGACCCCACAGCAGTGAGCCATCTTACCTAAGCCTGCTCCAAACACAGCCATTGGGCCACCGCCTGACGGGTACCTCCCAAAGGCAGGACAGTGGAGATGCACTGGACCCGAGCGAGCCTGTGACAGGAACCAAGACTTAAAAAATAAGTTGCTTACCTGGGACAGGACGTTCTGTCTGGCACAGGCAGGTAGCTAGGATGGCTGACAGGCTTCGACAGCCGCTCTCTTGAACTAAAACAAGTTGTGTGTGTGCAGACTCCTCTAAGGGACAGGCAGCAGGCTCTGAAGGCCAATCTTACACTGCCCTAGTGACCCCTTTACAGAGCACCCCCATCCCTAAGAGTCAACAGGGTTAGCATGGCCAGCGCAGATCGCTGCTTTTATTGATGCAGATCAAGCCTGCCGCTTCTCCCACCTGCAGACTTAGCCAAGGAACTCTAAGATGCATGACCAGGACAAGAGAAGGTGAGACTTCATACAAAAATACCTTGCTTTAAACCTTGAGTGACTATGAGATGCGATCTGGGAGTGCATCTGTCAAGTCATTGTGTTTTCTCCACTAACCTCAAAATACTGGGCTCTATTTTATCAAGCGCTGCAGTTCATGCCTCTGAGTGTATCCCCTGTCAATACTCAGCTTCTGCAAGACCCTGAGCTTGACGCAGAAAGCCAAACAGGTCAATTATGCAAATCTCCTGGTGCCACGTTAAATTTCTTGACAATGGAATGAGTCTGATGTTTTGTTCTACCTGCTTTTCAAGTCTCTAATTATTAAAGCTGTATCTCTGAAGACTCTGTCACTGTGTGTGTGAACTTGTCCTAAAGCTGCTCAGCCTTTAATCTTATACACACGTCTCTTCTTGTCTGTGGAATGGCAGTTTTCATGTCTGTCATAAAACCAAAGCCTCTGTTACAAGTCAAGCCGCACCCCTCTGGTGATCCTAGCAAATACTCAGTGTCTTTGTACTAGCACTGTGACAATGGCCTGTTTTGCATCCCTTCTTTCTGGAGCCGGACAAGGTCTGTAACATCCCGTGTAGGATCAGCATACATCACCTGCCAATTCCTTCAGGATTCATCACAACAGAGGTGTCCTGAAGATGCTGGAGACGCCCTCCACATGTTCTCCCTCCGCATCCCGAGTCGAGAGGCCCAGCCGCCTCCGAGGTGTGTGCTTGCCCATCTAGCTAAGGATGCCAGTCTGGTTCACAGAACCATCACATACTCACAACCTGAAGTTTTCCTATAAAATACCCATTAGCTTACTGTGGTTCTTGCTCTGGGTCTGGCTCCAGCCACTATAAACTGCTGAGTGAAATGCTGTGGGCTTTGGGCTTATATTCTTCGTGCTGTTTTCTGTATCTTCTGAAGTCTGGATTTTGAGCACTTTCACACTTAACAAAATAATTACATACTTGAAGATTTTGTAACGTGGAGTGGGAAATGTAGTTATGAGAATGAATTTTTGAGTCTTTGCTCTGCTGGAAAAAATAAAAATAGAGTTGTACATTGTTAAGTGACTGTACTTGGCTCCCCTGGCCCAGAGCTGTGTGTTCATGCGGCACCATCTGCACGCTGAGGGAGCTGAAATCACCTGTTGCAGTGGCCTCAGCTGGAGTTCTTCACTGACAAGAAAATGATAGCATCACCAGGCAAAAACGTGATGAGTTTGGTTAACTCCCAGGAGAAATAAAGCTCTCGGCAGCTGCATGAAATGTTTAAAGGCCTACCTACTCTGTTTAAGCTGCTTTCATCTTTAGATTAGCAACACAAATGTCACAGACCTAGAAACCTCCAAAAAGGGGCTTTGAGCAAAGGAATTCATCTAGTAGAGATCCTTAATTTTTTTGATTTATCAAATTTAAAACACTAGCTGCTGAGTGCAGCTGATAGGCTATTTTATTTTTTTTCCCCACAAATTAATTTTGGAACTTTTATTCTCAAATAATCTCCTATTTTCCAACTTACCACGACTGATTTGCTACCTACTGATGAGGAGGCAGAAAAGACCTCTCCCTTCCTGCTGGCCCCACTGACTGCCCTGAAAGAGAAATGAGTGGCGATGACTCGCAGCTTAGGACTGCTGATGGCCTGGCTGACCACACTTCCCATGTCTTACCAGCTCAGAATGTGTAGAGAACAGCAGAGCTCACGCTGGTCCCTGTGACCTCCATAGATGACAGGGCAGACGGTGCTTCATACACCAACCTCTGGTCACATTTCCAGCCCCTGCCCATAGCATGCCATTTCTGACTCATTATTCCAATTTTATTTGCTCATCACAGGCCACTTCTCAGAGGTACAATATTGGCATGACTGAATTCAGCTAAGAGCACTTTCAAAGCCAAAACAATAACCTGCTCACATGACAAGCAAAAAGCAATGAAAATTCTTTCCTGCCATTAGCTGTGGTAAAAAGAACGCAAGCGCAGGTCGGGACTGAGCCAGGATCTGGTTCTAGCAGGTCTGTGCAGGGTTGGAGGTTTTGATAATCACCACTTCCAGACCTAAGAGTGCTAGGGATAGCAGAACCCCCCCTGCCCTATGTGGCCCCCTTTACTTCAGGGCCCAGACTGTCCAAAAGGGATAAATTAAGACATAGGAATGATCAAGTAAGACAGAGACCACGGATAGGCTAAAATCACCAGAGTCTGAACCAAAATGTAATAATTACTCTTTATTTAAAATAAATAAGCCCTCTTACTTACAGGGAAAATATGAAAGTAAACTCTGTCCTCCTGGCCTCTAAGACAGAAACCACGTTCAGAATATGCTCATTTAAAGGAAAGATTTGTTGATTATCAAACAAATCTAGGTACTTTAATACACATTGTTTCCTTGAAAAATAAAGACAAAGGAATAATTCATGTCAAAAAGTCACAGGTTAGAAAAACAATTTTCCTTCTGAGGCTCATTTTAGCAAATCCCCCAAGTGTCCCCAAATCGTTAAAAAAAGCTACATCCCCTGAGAAAGGGCTCTTTCCCATAGCCCTCTTGCTCTGATGCCAGCAGCCCTGCATCCCTCTGCCAAGTAGCTCCCTGTAGGATGGTGCTGTTGCCGGGTGGGAATGGCCCTCTATGACCACCTCCAGCAGGCAGGAGCTTGGCACCTGCTTTCCACAAACTCACTCACTTGGCTCAGTTATTCCACAATGGAGAGGAAGTTTCTTTAGCAGCCAAAGTATTCTAAATATCACATTTTCCAGTATTTGCCAGATCCACAGTGTGCTCAGAAAGCCAGGGCTGTATCACCAGGCTTTTTAGAGAAGATTACCACCTGTGCATCTGAGCGACCTTTGACAGGCTCTGCAGCATTCAAGGCCTGCAGACACCACTTCATGTATCCTTTAATGCTGATCAATTTCCAGATTTAACAGTTACACAAATTATGTTGTCATGAAAAACTGAGAAGAAAAAGCCTCAAAGTATTTTTCAGACCTCCCCTCCTTACCCAAAATACAGACAAGGCAAAAACTCTCATAAATTCATATTCATCATTTGAGAGGTTGAAGCCTCCAAGGATTCTTCTAGCTCCAGGGCACATCGACTGTATGCTTCCAGATGTTTTTTCCAGATTTCAACTAAAATGAGAAAACAGCACGAGTGTGGAATAGCCATCAACAAGGTGGAAAATTCCTGTCAGAAAACCAGCAGCATGGGCGAGGGAGCTTGTGGCCACTGCCCGGCAGTCACAGTGCTCAGAGGTGCCCTAGCAGGCATTCTACCACTGTTCTCAGCCTGCGGGGCCGGGACTGCCCCTTACTGAGCAGAAGCTGGCTAGTGAGGGCGGGCAATCCAGGGTAGCTAGGGCCTTGTGTGGGTAGGCTAGGAGAGGACTGAACCTCTACTTGACCTTCCAAGCTTCTCTTGGGTACAGCCATCCTTAAGGCTACCCACTGTCAGGAGACATCTGACTTGAAGTCTGAGACAGTCAGTGACAAGTCCTTCCAACTTCAAAAGTCTGATAATACCTCTTAGGAAATGGGCTGGATTTACCACGCGTTATTACAGCCAGTCTCAGCTGGACTTACTGGGCCCTGCTACTCAGCTGTTCTTGCAGCATCAATGGTCAAGCTGCTCTTCTGGGGACTCTAATTAAAGTCAGTAAGTAACCTGGAGGACACTCAACCTGACATGACTCTCCCTTAGGCACTCACTGTAGTGTGGCTCTTCTTTTTCTGTCAGGGCTGGGGGGCCGTCTTCTGCAGGGCAGCTGGGGTCCTGTGTGGGTGGGCTGAGAGGTGCCTGAGGCCTGGGCTCTCCCGCCAGCTCCTGCTGCACATTCTCCAGCATGGTCTTGTATGCCTGTCGGGCCGCCATTGTCAGCTCAACCATCTTGTGGAACTGATCCTTGGGCACAAGTGAGAGCACACAGGTAATATCCCAGCTACAGAGGATACAGGTCCCCTCAAACTCAGCAATGGCACTCTCCAGAGAGAAGCAGGGGTGACACAGGGCAATGTGGACCCCATGCTTGTGGATGAGTACCAGGGATGCTGCCCCAGAGGGAAGAGTGGGCTAAGCCAATTTCTTGGGCCTGCCTGAGGTGCCACTATGCCGGCAGGAAGCCCAGATCAGAGCTCAATTCAGAACCAGACACCTCAAGCTGTCAAAGAGATAAATGCTACCTTTTTATAAGAAGGTTCTGCCTCAATGGTGGCTTCTCCTCAATATCAGCCTACCAGAAGTTCTGGGATTGCTCTGTGGGTGAGCCCACACTGGCCACCTGCCCTACTTCCTCCCATGGGCAGTGACTGAGGAGGCCTGTGCCCTGTGTGCTCACCTGGGCCCCATCGTAGCTGAAGATCCCCACCACGCTGACAGGAACTGCCTTGTTCAAACTGCGCCCCAGAGCTTTGCGGTTGAGAGCAAACACAAAGGGAATGTTCTGCTCACAGGCGTAATCAATAATTGTGTGCAACGTGTCATCCAGCCCACCTGGTCAAAGTACAATGAAAGATGACAGGAAGACACGTCATATGGAGTGTGGTATTAATACTGGTTACAAAGGGCTTTTTCTTAGCAACACACCTATGATTTTACACCCAAGGTAGAAGCTCCCTGAAAATACCAGGGGAGAGCAAGCTGCAGCCACATGAAGAATCAACTCTCCAAAAATATGGGAAAACATGGAAAGAAAACACACAGCTGGAATTGTCTTAACAGGAAAGGTCAACTGTTTGTTAGTGTTACTGAAACTTACCACATGCCAGGCCACTGATCAACTAACTGCTTCACACCTATTAGCTCCTGTGTCCTCCCCCAAATCCCAAAAGGCAGAGAGATGCTTGTGTTCTCACTGACAGATGAAGAACCAGAGGCACAGAAAGGTTAAAGTTCCTTACTCTACACTGTACCCCTGGTCAAGGCACAGGTGTGTCACCCTCTATTCCCTGACTATGCTTCTGGGACAGGGATCAGTCAAGGCTGATGCACCAGGAAGAGGAATGAGGTGAAATGAGCACTGTGTGCAGGTGATGCACCTGGCCACGTGAAACCCAACAGCACCTGAGAAGTACTCCTAACAGCATGAGAAATAAATAAAGGGCTTTGACACAAGTCTCTATACACTCACACAGCAGCCAGCTGGCGTATGTAATCAAAGAGATGACTCCATTTACAACACAAGTGGGTAGGAATGAATTTTTCAAGAAACATGAAAGAGTTACAGACAACGTCAACATGCTGCTAAAGAAAACATTAGCCTGGGCAACATAGTAAGATCCCATCTCCACCAAAAAAATTAAAAAAAAAAAAATCTGCCCAGTGTGATGGTAAGTGCCTGTAGTCCATCTACTGAGGAAGCTGAGGCAAGCTCAATCACTTGAGCCCAGGGGTTCAAGGCTGCAATGAGCCATGATCATGCCACTGCATTCCAGCCTGGGCAACGGAACAAGACTTTGTCTTTTAAACCACCCCTGCCACAGAAAACGTGAACAAATGAAAAGTCACCTATGCTCCTGGACAGAATGATCCAAAATGATGAAATGTCAACTTCACAATCTAACACTTGAAGACAGCGGTCCCCAACCTTTTTGGCACCAGGGACTGGTTTCTTGGAAGACAATTTTTCCACAGGGGAAGACGGTTTCAGGATGAAACTGTTACACCTCAGATCATCAGGCATTAGTTAGATTCTCATAAAGAGTGTGCAACCCACATCCCTCATATGTGCAGTTTATAACAGAGCTTGCGCTCCTATAAGAATCCGACGCTGGGGCTGCTCTCATAGGAGGCAGAGCTCACGCAGTAATGCTGACGAGCCCACTGCTCACCTCCTGCTGTGCAGCTCAGTTCCTAAGAGGCCACAGACAATACTAGGGCTGCAGACCAGGAGTTGGGGATCCCTGCTTTAAAATACTGTAAGTTACTACAAATGGGATTTCTTTGAGAAAGAAAAAATATGGAAAAAATATAAAAAGATGTCAGGCTAACATGGTCAGGTATAAAAGTTTACTATAAAGGTACCACAGTGTAAACAAGGTTATGCAGATAAAGAGAATGGACACAAGACACAACCAGAGTTTAATAGAAACAGTACGTGAAGAACAGCACTTTGGATTAGTCAGGGAGAAGATCCTGGAGGACTGGGTGGGCTCATCCAGTTCATCTTAGACCACAGTAAATCCTACCTAAACATATACAAATGAAGGAACCAGGAGATAAAAAGAATTTTTAAAGCAAATCTTGTAAATACTGGAATGAAAAGGCTGAAAAATAACACAATAACTAAATGCAATTAAAAAAATTAAATGCCAATATATATAACACTTAACATCTCTGCATGGCCAATTTTTTTTTTTTTTTTTTTTTTTTTTTGGTAACTGACAAACCAGAAAAAGCACTTGCAACTCGTACTCAAAGGAAAAAGGTACAAATTAATCTAAAAAAGCACATGGCCAATGAACATGAACAATTCACAGAAAATGCCAAGCTCCTGATGCTGATACCCTCCCTCATAAGAAAACTGCTAATAAAAACTCCTGAAGAGGATGCCCACGCCTCCCCACCCTGGGGGGAGACACAGTGGTCTCTGGAGGAAGGCACAGCATATGCCTTCAAGTTACGAATGCACACAGCATTGCAGGCCAGTCACCTGCCCTACAGGATACTCACCTAGTCCTTATAGAACACCTGTAAGAAACAACTGTTTACAATTAGCCTAGTATTACCTGGAACCTAATTACATATCAATCCTCTCATTTCAAGACAGGAACTTCTCCAATGCACGTCCTACAATACTGTGGAAACTGGGAACTCATTCTGCATCTAGTTGGTTGGGAGATTAATTTCCAAGCTCACAGCCCTTATTCTGCCCACCCCCTGCCCCTGATCTACCCAAAGCATTTGTAAAGTGATGAGGAGGCAGCCTCCTGGGATAAAACTTTGAAGAAAAATAACCAGTTCTGGATGGGCTGGAAAAAGGGGAGATGGGGCAGAGGTGGGGTGGAGTGTTCTGTGCTCCTTAGATATAATTATAGTGAAATCTACATTCAGTTTTTTAGGGGAGACATATGAAGTCCCCCTAATGTCAGATGCATGTCTCTCACTGGCAGGTCTCTGCCTGGTGTCCACTCCAGCTCCTGGGAGTGAATCTGAAATGTTATCTGAGCAGTGTGTAGAAACAACACAGCAGGCCTGACTCCTGTCCTCTTGAGTCCTGCCTGCCAGGTTGGCCCTTGGCTGGGGTCTGTGAACTTGGATTTCGAGAGGGTTCCCACCACCCTAACTGGTAAGAGTAACTCACTGTGCCTCCATAGTGTGTTGTGGTTTCTACTGAACACCTGCTTTCCTTCTGGAGTCTGGACTTCATATGTGCTAGGCAGAGGATGACTGTGTGACTGGGCCCAAACAGAAGCCCAGGCGCTGAGTCTCTAATGTGCATCCCTGGTTCCCAGGGGCTCTTAACTCGCTGGGGAATTAAGAGTCTCCCATGTGATTCCACTAAAAATGACTTTCGGAAGCCAGAGCCCGGTTCCCCGACACTTAACCCCATGTGCCTCTTCGCTTTGTTGCTTTTGCTTTGTGCCTTTTCACTGTAGTAAGTCACAGCTGCAAGTACCACTCTATGCTGAGTCACATGAGTCCTCCTGGCACATCACTGAACCTGGTGGTGGGCTTGGGAACACCCAATACAAGCAGCAAAGTCCAGACTTTTGCTCAAACAACCTCCAACCCATTGCTATTAGCGAGATGAAAGCACGTGGCAAGGGCCAACTACTGAAGTTCCACAAGAAAGCTTATGTCAAGCAAGATGCTCGGCTCAGATAATTTCCATTTCAAAGTGTAAGTTTAGAATTATTAGTAAAATGCCACTCAGAGCAAATACAGTACTTCAATGTAATTCATCAATTTTTACCTTTAAGATGATTGCAAGCCACTGGGTATCTTATCTGACAAATATTTATAAGATATGCAATCAAGTCCCTCATGCCTCAAAGTAGAAACATGTTGGAACCAATGATTAAGCAAATGCATATTAAGGGCACAACAAATCCTTATGACACTGATCAAGTAAAAACCTAGCCCCATGCTCTGGCAGAGGCACAGAAGGGGAATGATGGCTTCTAAGAAAGTGGTGTGGGGACAGGTGTGGTGGCTCACACCTATAATCCCAGCACTTTGGGAGGCTGAGGCAGGCAGATCACGAGATCAGGAGTTTGAGACCAGCCTGGCCAATATGATGAAACCTTGTCTCCACTAAAAATACAAAAATTAGCTGGGTATAGTGGCATGTGCCTGTAGTCCCAACTGCTCAGGAGGCTGAGGCAGAAGAATCGTTTGAACCCGGGAGGTGGAGGCTGTAGTGAGTAGAGATCACGCCACTGCACTCCTCCAGCCTGGGCAACAGAGTAAGGCTCTGTCTCAAAAAAAAAAAAAAAAAAAAAAAAAAAAGAGGCTGGGCGCGGTGGTTCATGCCTGTAATCCTAGTATTTTGGGAGGCCGAGGCAGGCAGATCACCTGAGGTGGGGAGTTCAAGACCAGCCTGACCAACATGGAGAAAACCCATCTTTACTAAAAATACAAAATTAGCTGGGCGTGGTGGCAAATGCCTGTAATCCCAGCTACTCGGGAGGTTGAGGTAGAAGAATTGCTTGAATCCGGGAAGCGGAGGTTGCAGTAGGCTGAGATCCCGCCACTGCACTACAGTCTGGGCAACAAGGGCAAAGCTCCATCTCAAAAAAAAAAAAAAAAAAGAAAGTGAGGTGACTGTGGGCTGAGTGTGTTTGTGTGTGTGTGTGTGTGTGTGTACACACTTTTACTTTTTTTTTTTTTAAAGGCATAAATCCATAGAAGAATGTGAGAGACAACAGCAAAAAGTTTCAGCAAATGGACAACTGAGCTAGCCAACCTAAGCCAACAGTGAGAAAAGCCTAAAATAGCCAGTCTTGGACCCCAGAATCCCCCAACGGCCAGGAGCAGGCAGCATAGGGTGATGCAGCAGTGAGGAGGGCTGGCTGAACACTGGCAAAGGGGCAAGTTGCTCAGCTGCGGCCCTTTGGTAAGGCACAGCACAGGTTTGCAGGGTATGACACACCACACATCTAACGGTGGTGACCTCAGGATGAGCTCACAGGGCGAAGTTCGCCTGTCCCTCCAGCAGGTAGTGAGAAGTCTTCCTTGGGGATTTGACCAGCCCTAGGGGAGACAGAGACACCTGGGGCACTTCCGACATGGAAGCAGCCCGACCACATCGTCCTACAGAAGTTCTCAGTGCATTCCTCAGAGCAGCAGCAGCAGCACCCAGGAACTTGCTCAAAGTACAAATTCTTGGGCCCATTGGACATACTGAAGCAGAAACTCTGGAATCTGTGTTTTCCTCAGCCCTCTGGGTGATTCTGATGCTGGCTACATTTTGAGAACCATCACCCTCAATGCTGCTCACAGCCTTGAACACCAGCCACACACCCGGATTTCTAGTCGGCTGTTTACTGGCTCTTAAATAAGCACAGACAACTGAGGGATAGTGGACATCTGTGGAAAACCTCCACCATGAGAGGCCAAAACAAACAAAGCAAACTACTGGGAGGAAACAGAGGCAGTGCAGTAAGAGAAATTCAGCATCATTAAAATTCTCAGAGAGGCGTCCCTGAGGCAGCAGCAATGTGATAAAAAAAAAAAAAAAGGAATCTTCAGAGGATGAAAACAGCTCCCCAAAAATAAAAAATCAGAAGTAAAAAGCTATACAGAAAGTTTAGAAGACACAGTTGAGAAATCCTAACAGAAAATAAAACCAAAAGGAAGAGATGAAAAGAAGCAGGAAACAAATAATGTGAAGATACCAGTCCAGGAGGCCTGACCCTGATGCAGTTCCAAGAAGAGCTGGCAGGGATTGGAGGAGAGGATTTAAAGCAAAAATTCAGCATGTCCCACAGCCAAAGACACTGGATGCAAACTGTCCCACATCCTGTAACAAGGCACTTCCAGTGAACGCCCAGAGAGCAGAGAGTGCAAAAAAGATCACAAAGGATCAAGAATCAGAGACTCTGGATTTAAAGCAAGAGGTTCAAAATATGCCTCCCATGTATCCTTTTCTCCTAAACCACTAGAGGAAAGTGCTCCAACAAAACAAGAGTGCACCCCAAGAAGGAGTCCATAAATAATACCTTATCGAAAGGGGGTGAGAGCCAAGGGTATCCCTGGGTGCCAAATACATGAGGTACAGCAAGCTGGGAATACAGGTTTCTTTAGCAGATAAAACTGCAAAATGCCTGGTGTAACCAACTATCTTAGAAGAGGCCGAGGCAGCTGGCTGAGGGCATGAGGTTTCATTAATGCTAAGTATATAGACAATTAAGCAACCACCACAAAACAAGGACAATAACCCAAACTATACATTAGGGTAAGTAACAAGCAAAGCCCTTTTGCTTTATTGGGGAGTTGACAAATACTTAAAACTGAAAACATGTGAGCAGTAGCTCACAAGTCTCTTATATAGAGATATGGAAAGGGAAGGAGCCCAAGCCTGCCTCTCCCTTAACAAACCCTATAGGACTATTTGACCCTTTAGCTATGGACTTGTAACAACGCTGACAAAAACAGCCACGGAAGCATGTGGCCTGTCCTCTTCAATGACCTGGAAAGGCCTCTGGGCACATAACCAGATGGGTGGGTCACTGAGATCCCGTCTGCCATATTCTGTCAACAGTGATGGTAGACCAGTACCAAGTTAGGACAGGGAAGAGCTGCCGGCTGGGGGCCTTGGCCATGTCAGAAAACCTCCAGGCTTTAGACAGGAAATGATAACTGGAAAACATCATCTCTGCGGGTTCAGCCACAGGATGCGGATGCATTTTCTCAAAAAAAAAGTTGAATTTTACACTGCAGGAGAAAGGAATGGGGCCAGGGAGAAGCTTGTGAGTTCCCTAGCCTAGAGGGAGATGAAGGATAAGAGCGATGCCACTCTGCTCTTATCAGTTCTCCTATTGCTCAATTTGAGAAGGACACAACAGGGACAGGCAAGTCCTTCAGAAGCCAAGAAAGCACAAGTGTAGGCCAAACATAAGATGTCACAGTGAGGGTTCACTGTCACCTGACACAGCATATCACATCCAACAAAACGTATATTCCAGTTTAAGTAAAACAGCAAAATATTTAGACAAAGTCATACCTGTAACAAGCAAGCAGATGAGTCAACCACAGACTGAACAACTAAATGTCAAGTAGACAAAAGCCCTAGGTAGGTACTGCTTGGCTGCCAGGCATAGCATCTCATCTCTGTGGTATGAGTGATCAGTGACTATCCCAGCCCCAGGGTGGCGGCCTGCACAACAGAGGCATGTCTTTCCCTGATGCCAGAGGCCTGCGTGGGCTGGCTGGGCCCGCCGTGTGCAGGACCACAGGACCCACCTGCCCTACAGAGGGTAAGGCACTTAGTAATGGTCAATGCAGTTGGGAAACAATTCATCAAAACAAAACCCACGAAGATGAGCTGTCAAGGCCCGTGGCACAGTATACCAGGTGTGTGGTGACCATGAGGATGGCACACTAGACACTCACACAGGGGCCCACATGTCACAGGACCACGCCATGCCTTTACCTTTCGACTGTATCTTCTCACAATTGGGAGAAATAATGACACATTTCAGTTTTTTGAGCTTCAGGTGTTTGAGAACTTCCCTCAACCCTAACACGAGTCGCCGTTTAGTCCTGGCCTTGACTGGATCTTTCTGGTACATACGGTCTTGGAAACGGACCAATTCTTTGAGTAGGTCGGTAACACAAGCATCCACTTCTTTACAAAGCATCTGGCTGCAGTAACTGAAAGAAACATCAGACATCAGGAATTGTGCCACTGGCTGTGACACTGCAGCAATGCTCCCAACCCACCCCAGGGAGAAGAGACGTAGAATGCAGCAGACAAGAGGTCGTTTCGGCGAGTACTACTAACCGGAACTGTGGAATTCCCAATGATTTAAATTTACAAAAGGTAAATACTGGGCCATTTTCCCCCATTCCCAACTACAAGGGAGAAATTTCTCTGGGCGCTGCCCCCACAACCATAGTTTGCCACAGGTCCCCATCTTAGCCACTACCCTGTGCATCTCCCTGTCATAAAGACAAATACCAGGAGACTATCCTGGAAGAAAAGTGGGCAAGGGGGGAAGACAGAGTGAGCACACAAGGTTAAAAGAATCCTGCTGCCCTAAGAAATTATACAGAGATTGAACCATGAAAAGGGGCCCAAGGTGATGCACAGTCACCTCACTATCCATTTCTCTGACTTCAAACCTGGGCTGAGGGCCCCTTTTCCATCATTAATACCACGAGAACCTCAGTAGAAGCAGATACAGACACAACAATTAGGCTCTCCCTGAACATGTGTAACCAGGTACCTGGCTACTTTCAACCATAAGAGTTAAAGCACAGTGTGGCCCAGCAACATGGATTTATGGAAGAAATCAACGCCATATTGAACCGAAGCACTTCCCTCTTCCACCAGTCCCTGGCAGGTAGGGGCTCACTCACTCCCTGAATCTGCGGCTGTGGATCTTAGGGAAGGTGGCGTGATAGGGAGCAAGGTGGGAGGCTTCTGTGTCCCTCTGGAGTTCTGTGCCTGGTGGCTCCTCTGACTTGCCCTCAACCGCAGGAGTGGAGATCGGTTCGTCTGTCCCCTCTGGCCCTTCGTGGAGGAAAAAGTCATTATAAGACATCTCTAAGGCTCAGTGCACACACTGAGGGGCTGGCTGAATACAGTCTTACCGATGCAACCAGACTCTGCACACAACCACCACATCCACAGACAACATGCAGAGGTTTACAGAAGGCAGCAATGACAGACAAGGATGCCTGGGGAAACCAGAAAAACGGGTGGAGGCTGTCATGCCTGGAGGTGTGCCTCCCCCCAATTTACTTATACATTCATTTTTATTATGGTAAAATATACGTTAATCTTACCAGTTTCACCACTTTTAAGTGTACAGTTCAGTGGCCAAATTTATTTTTTGATTTTGAAATTTAACCTGAAGAATTGCATTATCAGGAAGTTTTTAAAAATTGGCCTTTAGTTGTAAGTTTTTTCTCAAATGCTTGAGACCATTCTTTTTGAAATAATCCTTTAGAAAGTGCTGAACTCCAACATTTAAACTATGACAAACTCAAGAGGTGTGTGTTCAAACACACCAGGTCTGATGCAGTAATAACCTACTAGTTACTTCTCTCGACTATCAAAATGCAATTGCATAACCGATCACCAAGTGAAGGAATGAAAAAACATATACTGGACCTACAAGAATGGCAGGCTCAAAAAAGATAGTACCCCGTGGTCCCGTGGAGATGGGGAGCACCTGAAACTCTCAGCCATGCTGGGGCTGTAACTGGTAGAACAGTTAGAAACCCACTGGGCAGGAGCTACTAAAGCAATTCTGCTCCCACATAATGCCCCAAAGGAATAAGTGCTTGTGTCCTTTAAGACACATATAACACTGTCCACAGCAACCCTATTTCTAATTACCCCAAACTAGAAAATGCCTGCATGCCCATCCGCAACCCTGTACACTTGTCCAGCTGAATTTTACACAGTAATGAAAATAAATGGCAACTCCATGTCGCCAACAAGGCTGAAGGACAGGGGACAGAGAGAGCAGCACACAACACACAGCTGCACCAGAGCCACGTCCACAGCCGTGGGTGGGGCTGCTATCAGGGAAGGGTCTCCTAGGGGAGGTCTCTGACCAGAGGGCACAGGAAATTGCTGAGCTGTTTTGCTTCTTGATCTGGGTACGGTGGTTACTGTGCAAAGTCCTCAAGTTGTACACTGATGATTTATGCACTTTTCTAAATGTACAGCTGAATAAGAAGTTTGCTTAAAAACATACATTCGTGTTCATGTCCCCACATCTCATATACTTGCTGGTAAACAGCTGTGCAGCTAGCGGTGCTAATTCTCATGACCACTTTAAGTTAGAGGACCGCCTAGCACCACACAAATCAAATTTGGTGGGAAGGGAGGATCCTCACCTCTGTCCCTCACAGAACGCAGAACAAGAGGCACTAGAAACACTCCCCCATCCATGGGGACATCCCTTCCCTGTAAAGCTGGGAGCTCAATGCTGACCCACTTTCACCACAAAGCCAAGAGGAGTCAGCCAAGTCCTGGAGAGTTTGCTCAGCATAGCTCATCCTTTCTGCAGCTGCTCCCACCTAAATTATTCTTAAGGCACAAACAGAAGTTGGTACCTGAGGCCTCTGCCTGCTCTGGAACCTGGTCGTCACCACCACTCTCTCCATCTTGTGTGTCATCACTGGCAAAAACTGGACTTACAGCATTTTCTTGGAGACGCTGCTGCTTTCTCTCTTGCCGTTCTTTCAAAATAATCTTAAAAATTAAACAAACAATTAAAATGCCTAAATATTTGTACTTAAAAGATAAGCTCTTCTGCAAATTAAACCGCCCAAGTTCAACCTGTTGGCAATGCGCCTATTTGTGCTTTGAGAGCAGCCAAGTGCGCCCCAGCCTCCAGGGAGCTGACCCAACCCTCCCTGCTGGTTTTGGAGTGGCACATTCCTCCCTGGGTATGCAGAGCAGCCACACAGGAAGGCCCTGAGCTCTGAATCCAATTCTGTAGCTCAGCGCTTGCCTGAGCACCTACACCACAGGGTTGCTGTGAGAATTCACTGGAGGGAGGTGGCTCACATCTGTAATTCCAGCACTTTGAAAGGCCAAGGCAGGTGGATCATCTGAGGTCAAGAATTCGAAACTAGCCTGGGCAACATGGTGAGACTTTGTCTCTACTAAAAATATAAAAATTAGCTGGGCATGGTGGCACATGCCTGCAATTCCAGCTACTTGGGAGGCAGAGGCAGGAGAATTGCTTGAATCCAGAAGGCCAAGGGTGCAGTGAGCCAAGATCATGCCATTACATTCTAGCCTGGGCGACAAGAGCAAAACTCCGTCTCAAAAAAAAAAAAGAAAAAAGAAAAAAGAATTCATCGAGGAGCCTGTGACTGTCCTCCTGGAAGGTCTATAAGGAAGTGTGCACTATTCACCGACTTTGAACATCAGATAGATCAGCTAGGGTAGGATGAAGGGGGACGATAAGAAGGAGGAAAATGCAACTCCTCCCATTTCTGGTTTTCTGTCCATGCCACTGCAAAGTTAAAACAATAAAAGATGTTCCTTTCTTCTCAAGTAGCTGAAGCATTCTCCACATAACATGTTCCTCATGTGTCATGCTGGGAGGGTGAAGAATCATTTGTTAGAGTATCATTAACGTGTTTTACTACAACATATTCAAGTAATGTTTAAGTCGTAAAATCTAGAAATCTAAGAAATGGGAGGATAACTATGGACACGTGAAGCTGTCTAAGATTTCTAGTGCCTCGCTTTGGCTGAAACACCTACACACCTTCTTCAGTGAGGTTGGCTTCTTGGCCTTGGGGATCTCCCTCTGCTTCCCTTTCTTTATCAGGGGGGCGCTGGAGTCCAAGGGATTGTGCGGGGTCTTCACTTGACTCACACGGCGACCTCTCTCCCCTGACGCACATTCTTTGGAAAGGACTGGCACTGCTCCAACTGAAACACAGTGAGACAAAGGCCTCATGGTCACCTCCCAGATGCTCTACCCAGCTCTTGGACCGCAGCTTGCCCAGTGGCTGCCTCAGGGTATCCAAAGGAGTTTGCCATGTCATCCCCAGCCTGTCCCCACAACCCTTCTCATCTTTGTCAAAAAATCTCTTACACATTCTTTTCATTGGCAATTTCTAAATGATATTTATTATCTTTCGGATGAGATCCCCAAAAAGTATCAAGTAACTTAGGAACCTACCTTCCTATCCATGTCATCAGATCTCCCATGTTTCCCAGTACAGTCTAATACTGCCTGGATCTCATTTTTTGACTCAGGGCAGTTCTAGGTGGTCGCACTCACTGTTACTACTGTGAACATGTCTCTCTCCACTACAATTTCCAGTTGACACTGCCTTTATGGAAGCTGGCTATTGGTTTCTATATGTGTATCTTGTATCTAGGTACCTTATAAGATTCTATTAATATTTCTAGTTAATTCTCTTGAGTTTTCCAGACATGTTTTCCCAAATCCCATCATGAACAGTTGGTAATCCCTCTACATAGCCAATGAATTATTGTGATTACTACTAAACAGTTCAATTTTATTCTCCTTTTCTGTTCTATTTCCCTTATCGATAATTATTTCAAATAAACAGTTAATTCCTATATAGTTTTTCCCCCCACTTTTTGATCTGGAAAATTTCCAAACATATGCCAAACAAAACAGAATAGTAAACAAACCCCGTGCCCATGTCCAGCTTCAACAGTCACCAACATTTTTCCAAATGTATTTTACCTGCCTTCCTTTAATTTTGGAACAGTTTTTAAAATAACTGGTGCTTTGTCAATCAGGCAGTCCCACTTAGTCTCACCTGTTGGATTCACTGCTTCAATGCAGAATGTAACCTGCACAGGTCAACTAAGATAACGGTACCTGCCTCCCAGGCTGCTCTGGCCTTAGTAAGCACAGCTGCTTGCATCTTTGGAGCCTTATTTCCACATGGGGTTTGAACATACATGTGACTGGCTCAATTCTTTTTCTCAGGTCTTCTTGGAAAACCATGTGCGGCTCACGTGCTCATTCACCCAGTCCTCAACGATACCACTAAGTTCAGCATCTCACCTGGGCTCCTGCAAAACCTGCCACAAGCCCTCCAACTCTACACCTCCTGCACCCCACTGCCAGGCACCTCTTCACAAAGCACTGACAATGGGCCCAAGAAGAGTCTTTTCCTCACAGCAGAGGAAGATCAACCATTCCCTCCCACAAAAACAACCACCAAGTTCAACATAACTGCCAAAAACAATCATATCAGCCCTCTGGAAAGTGATCAAAGGCTTCCAACAAACCGAGTGCTTACTTCTTAGATGACTAGCCTTTGGGTGAGAACAGTATGAGTCTGGACATTCCCGTCTGAGGCTTTTCCTAGTTTCTCCCTGCTCAGCTTTGGCTCATTGAACCAGGTGGCAAGGCTGTGAAAAACAGCAGCTTCCCTGTCATGGCCATAAGGGGCTTGCTGAATTCAGAGGGTGGTCATTTAAAGTGGTGATTTCAGCAAATGGGGAAGGCAAGGGAGCATGGCCAGTCAGAGGCTGCCATTTTGAATAGGCAAGCAACAGAAACCACCAGGCCAGCAAGGACTTACATGGAGTCCAGGGGAAGACTCGCTATAAGGATGGGCTATGGGGCAGTCAACCAAGAATTCTATATTCAGCAAAACTAACCTTCAAAAAGTGAATGCAAAATAAAGACATTCCTAGATAAAGACTGTGAGAATTTGTTGCTAGTATGGCTTGTGTCACTAATACTAAAGGAAGCCCTTCAGAAGAAATACAACCAGAAGGGATACAAGATGGCAAATGAATCCAGAGGAATAAAGAACACCTAAAATCATAATTATGAAACTGGTAAATATAAATTTTTCCCTTATTCCTTCTCTTCTTTAAAAGATATGGCTATACAAAGTTGTAGTTCCAACACTGTAGTGTTTGGTTTATAATATATTTAGATGTACCATATGACGATAGCATAAAGGGGGAGGAAGAAAATGGACACATATTGGAGTAAAGTTTTTCTAATACATAAACTAACAGGTATACTGTAATCCGTATAGCAACCACTAAGAAAGTAGTTTTTCAAACTAAACTTAAAAAAAAAAAAAAAAATCAACAAGAAATCAAAAGTGTACTCTAAAAATATTTAACACCAGAGGCAGTAAAAGAGGAAGCAAGGAACAAATAACAAAGCTGACAAAAACAAGCCATGGGGAAAGGACACCCTGATCAATAAACGGTGCTGGGATAAGTGGCTAGCCACGTGCAGAAAAGTGAAACTGGACTCCTTCCTTATACTATATACAAAAATCAACTCAAGACGATTAAAGACTTAAATGTAAAATCCAGAACTATAAAAATCCTGAAAGACAACTCAGGCAATACCATTCTGGACACAGGAACTGGCAAAGAGTACATGCCAAAGACATCAAAAGTAACTGAAACAAAAGCAAAAATTGACAAATGGGATCTAATTAAACTAAATAGCCTCTGCACTGCAAAAGAAACTAGCATGAGAGTAAACAATCTACAGAATGGGAGAAATTTTTGCAGTCTATCCATCTGACACAGGTCTAATATCCAGCATCTATAAGGAACTTAAACAAATTTACAAGAAAAAAACAACCCCATTAAAAAGTGGGCAAAGGACACAAACAGACACTTTTCAAGAGACATACAAGTGGCCAACAAGCATATGAAAAAAAGCTCAAAATCACTGATCATTAGAGAAATGCAAATCAAACCACAATGAGATAACACTTCACAATAGTTAGAATGGCTATAACAGGGTCGGACGCGGTGGCTCACACCTGTAATCCCAGCACCACAAGGTCAAGAGATCGAGACCATCCTGGACAACACGGTGAAACCCCGTCTCTACTAAAAATACAAAAAAATCAGCTGGGCATGGTGGCGCGTGCCTGTAGTCCCAGCTACTCAGGAGGCTGAGGCAGGAGAATTGCCTGAACCCAGGAGGCGGAGGTTGCAGTGAGCCGAGATGGCGCCATGGCACTCCAGCCTGGGTAACAAGAGCGAAACTCCATCTAAAAAAAAAAAGAATGGCTATAACAGATGCTGGCGAGGTTTCAGAGAAAAAGAAACACTTATACACTGTTGCTGGGAGTGTAAGTTAGTTCAATCATTGTGGAAAGCAGTATGATGATTCCTCATACCTAAAACAGAAATACCATTTGACCCAGCAATGCCATTATATGTCCAAAGGAATATAAATCATTCTATTATAAAGACAAATGCATGTGAATGTTCACTGCAGTACTATTCACAATAGTAAAGACATTAAATCAACCTAAATGCCCAGCAACAGTAGACTGGATAAAGAAAATGTGGTACATATACACCATGGTATAGTCTGCAGTCATAAAAAAGAATGAAATCATGTCCTTTGTACGAACATGGATGGAGTTGGAGGCCGTCATCCTTAGCAAACTAACACAGGAACAGAAAACCAAATACCACATGTTCTCACATGTAAGTGGGAGCTAAATGGTAAGAATAATACATGGACACAAAGGGGGAATAGACACTGGGGCCTACTTGAGGGTGGAAGGAGGGAGAAGATCAGAATAACTACTGGTATCAGAATAACTAGAGGCTTAGTACCTGAGTGATGAAATAATCTGTACAACAAACCCCCATGATCCAAGTTTACCTATAAAACAAACCGGCATGTGTACCCCTGAACCTAAAACAAAAGTTAAAAAAAAAGGGAAGATCCACAGATTAAAAAAAAAAGTAGTGTTTTTTGAAATAATTACTTCAAAAGGAAGAAATATTTAAAAGCCTCTGGTGGAAAATTTGCAGGTTGCCTTTTATGACATATTGTATGTTTTAACAGTCTTGGCTCTTAAGATGTGTCAGAGGAAAGAGACAGCCACATCAGCACTAACTCAACAGTGTTCCCAGTGGTGCCCAGTGCACAGGCTGCAATACATGGAATGCAGCTTCCTGACCCTGACCCAGACAGTAAAGATTTTCAGGAACTCAGGGCACGTCTATAGGTAAGGAGATTTTCAGCTATACAATGTCATCAATCAAGTAGAAAGCTCATCTTTTAATAAGATCAATTTTTAAAAATCATCCTATTTTAATAACTTAAAAATATTTTAATTATGGAAAAATGACATAAAATTTACCATTTTAACTTTTTAAGTGCATAATTCAGTGCCGTAAATTATATTCATAATGTTATGCAACCATCACTACTATCCATTTTCAAGACATTTTCATGCACCAATGAATACTCTGTCCCCATTAATAATAACTCACCATTCCTTTTCCCCTCAGCCCCAGGTACCCTCTAATTTATGTTCTTATGAATCTGCCTGTTCTAGATATTTCTTTTTAGTGGAATCACACAGTAGCTGTGTTTCTATGTCTGGCTAATTTTATATGATATAATATTTTCAGGTTTCATTCATGTATCATGTATAAGAATTTATTCCTTTTTTAAGGTTGAATTATTACTCTGTGTAGGTATACCACATTTGTTTACACCATCATGTGGTAATGAACATTTGCGCTATTTCTACCTTTTGGTTATTGTGAATAATGTCATAGCAAACCCCAGTGTAAAAGTGTCTAAGTCTCTTTGCTCTTGGGTAAATATTAAGGAGTGAAATCACTGAGTCATGTAATTACTCTGCATTTAGCATTTTAAGAAGCCACCAGGTTGTCTTCCACAGTGGCTGCACCATTTTACATTCCGACTGGCAGTGTACAAGGGTTCCAATTTTTCCACGCCTTCACTGACACTTGTTATTTTCTGTGTTTTTATTTCCCTGATGACTAACAATGTTGATAATCTTTTCACGTGCTTATTGACCACTTGTGTACCCTTTTTGGAGAAATGTCTTTTCCAGTCCTATGCCCATTTTTAAATTGGATTGTTTGCTGTTCAGCTGGAATTCCTAAATATTTGAATATGAATCCCCTATCAGATATATGATTTGCAACCATTTTGTGAGTATTCTTTTCACTTTCTTGATAATGTCCTTTGGTATGCAAAAATTTTTAATTTTAATGTGGTCCAAGGTTAATTTTTTTTGTTGTTGCTCATCTTTTTGGTGCCATTATCTAAAAATCCAATGTCTAATCCAAGGTCATGGAGATTTACCCTGTTTTCTTTTAAGAGTTTTATACTTTTAGCTCTTATATTTAGCTCACTGTTCCATTCTGAGTTCATTTGGATCTATGGTATGAAGTAGGAGATATGACTATCCTTTAGCATGTAGAAATCCAGATGTTCTAGTACCATTTTAGAGACTGTCCTTTATTCTTTTCATAGACTTGGCACACTTATGAAAAATAACTGGCCACAGATACATGAATTTAATTCTAGACTCTTAATTCTACTCCACAGGTACATATCTATGCTTATGCCAGCATCACATTGTTTTGATTATCTATAAATAACTTTTGATAACAAGAGAAAATGTTAACACAATAATCTAGCTGAAAAAGACTTCCAACCACTTGCCTGAGATGGACAGAATCTTACCTGATACCACCACTGGTTTGGAGGACTGCTTTGCATGCTGAGAGTGCTGCTTCTTCTCCAGGGCTGTCAGCATGCCCCCCAAATCCAACTGCACTGGAAGCTGGCTCTTCTTTACACTATTTTTAAAATTATCCTGAAAGTTCAAAATTCATAAATTTACTTATAAAACTATACAAACCGTGCTTTCATTTTACAAAAAAACTGATGTAATTAAAGACAAAATGAAGTAAGATTTAGAGACTATAAAAAAGAATTTTAAAAAATTCAAGTAACAAGAAAATAGGGAAAAAACATCAATCTCATACTATCTGCCAATATTACTATGGTTGTTTATGTCACCCTTCTTTCAGAAAATTGGGTTTATATTAAATCAACTACACTTTTGTCTGTATCTCCATTGTGAGTGGTTAACAATGTACATCTACAGACAAGACACTAGCACTTGTATAAAGTCTTTGGCTACAAAGTCTGCGTGTGAGGCTACTTGGTTAGTACTACTGCCTCATTGGCACCACTCTCTCTCCAAATGCCTCTGTAAACCAACAAAATTCATGAAATTATAGTGATACAACCAGAACTCTACATAAGCCCAAATCATACTCAGCAAATAGTATTAAATACAGGCTCAAAGTTTGATATGCTTGAAACAAGTATTATTTTTGACATTGTTGTGATTTGGGTCTTGAGACTATAAAAAAGTTGTACAAGGAAGCCCAGTGATATGTCCTAAGGCATGGTGTCCCATTTGCTTTAGTGCCTCCACTCCACTCTCTTGCCAAGTGTTCTCTTCCTGGACACCAAAAACCCTACTGGCTGAGGGCTCCCATCAGGGGAAAGTGCCACGTGCAACAAAGGACAGGCAAGGAGGCCTGCTGCATGGAAGGAAGATGAGCAAATTATGACACTGAACTTAAAGTTAACTCACACAAAGGTTTAGAAGTTTATTTTTCACGAATGCAGAAACAATCGTTCCCCCCTTTAAAAGGCAAAATGACAATGCATATCCTAGCAAATAAATGTCCACAAGCACACAAGTTCCACATCTAAATTATGAATCACAAGCTCCCTCCTGAATCTACATTGCAGGTGGTGGAGTGTGGAAGGGGAATCACCTCCACTTTAGCTTCTGTTTTGACTGCAGAGAGTAAAATCGTGGTGCCTCTCTTATTTTTCTTCTGTTAGATATTACTGACTTGCAAAAAAATTTCTGTTTCCCAAATAAACTGAGTCAACTTTTTTCCTTTAAAGTATCATAAGGCAGTATGTAGCCCCCTTCTTTCTGACTTAGCAAATGCAGTTACCAATAATCTTGTTATAAAATAATAATCTTATAAAGTAATAAAATCTTATTATTTAAAATGTTTTAGCTTAAGAGTAATTCTGTTTCAACATGCTGAGTACAGTTCTCTCCTGAAGGAATGAATCAAAACAAAACCACCTGTCTCCACACAGAGATGTCTGGAAAGCAGTTTTTCTCAAGCATTTAGTTGAGCCAGAAAAGTTAAGCCTAAAGCAATTGTGGTTTCAATCTAAAAATTACCTGTGGCTGCTGTTTAGATTGAAATTTCGGTCTCTCTATTCTGTCTCTTCTTTCAGATGCAACTGCCAGGTTAGGAAATTCCTCAGCATCCTAAGTAAACCACACACCCCTTTAGCTCTTTGTTAATACAAACATGCCAAGTGCAACCTTTTCCTTGCTTATATTTTCATTCTTCAATAAGGTCCCACAAAAGTTCTTAAAAGTGATTAAAAAAAAAAACAGCTGTGAAACTCTCACATAAGAGTTTCTACTTTATACAACTTGGAACAAATTTAAAGACCACAGTTCTAATACCCCTGTACCCAAAAAAGAGAGTGCCACCAACGATCTTGGTACACCTGAGGTATCTACAGAACTGACCTTGGACTACTTTGGCATGAGAGTATTCAAGTACCTGTTCTTCAAAAGACTATGTTTTTCATTAGAGAAACTGTCTAGATTCAGTAGTTCTGCATGTTGTATGTGCTGAACCCAGGATAGTAAATGGAGTCAAAGGCAACAGACCTGCTAAAAAACAATTTTTAAATCACTTGAAAATGCCTATGTCATTCTGTCAATATTTTAGGTACCTTGGAAAAAGATGGGAAACATAGGGCAGAAATGTAAATTATTTACTGGCCTAAACCATAATGCTCTGCCATGGTAGGTTTTCAAACATTTAACCCAGCTATTCTCCAATGGATGTTCTAGGAGCCTTGGGAACCCCCACCCCAAGTCTGTAGAAATGCCCTGGCCTTGCCCCTAAGCTGGGCACCCAGGCAGCACCTCTGAGACAGTCTTCGGCCTGCACAAGCAGCCAGGCCACCTGAGTCTGGTACAGCAATGTAAAGAAAACCACCAGGCACATAATTAAGTCAGAATCCAGGCTGGCTCCTTAGAGTACAAGACGTGTGGAGTATCATGGGACGATTAAAGCCATCCTTTTGGAAGTTCCTGAAATCTTCTTGACTCAGGCCTTCAATGGTTCTATAGTATTCTACATTTCTCTCTATAATGAAGCACTTTATAATAAGACTTCCGGATAGAAAAGAAGGCCCTGCAAAAGCCAGCATTCCAAAGCAAGGGGGAAAAAAAAAAACAGGAAAAGAAGATAACTGAAGGGAACTATTAGTAATATGGCACACTAACTATTCAACTCCGATACAAGTAGTTTTGTCTCCAGACCATTCATTCATTCAAATGTTCACGGAGTGGCTGCTCTGAGACAACCAGGAAGCCAAAATGAAGAGGTAAGAAGAAAGAGTAGCTGCTGCTTTCTTTAGCACTAAGAAAATGATCATTAAAAGGCCCTGGAGATTTTCACTTAGGAAAACAATATGAATTCATATTTCTATTAAGAAAGAGCCACTTATTATATTACACAATGTGAGTAATAAATATAAATGTACTTCAATTCTTGGAGGCTCTTGAACTCTCAGGACTTCATATTTTGATGCAGACTTTTCTTTCTTTTTCTTATTCTTTCTTGAGGCTTCATTTTGTTCAAGGTCGCTACCTTGTGATGCTTTAGACTAGAACAAAAATACAAAGCAAAAATCCTGTTTTTAGGGCGATCAATAGAATGTTTAATACTATGCATCAGCAAAATTAAGATATCAACTCCTATAATCACATGGCAATTTTATTCAGAGTTAGGTTTCTCATCCTGTTTTTTTTTTTTTAAGAGCCAGAATTCATTAGAATAATTCTGAAGGAAAAAAAAGTTTGTTGGAATAGTTGTAATACCCAATTCCTTTTGAAAACTGGTAGATTTGGACAGAACCTCATTTTCAGCTCGAGGAGATCATGGTGTTAAGGACCTTATTGATCCCAGCCTAAGCTCTCCCTGTAATTCCAGGCAGGCCACTTCCACCAGAATGGCCCAGGGGTTCCTCATCTGTACATCACACCTGTCTGCACAGCAGAATCACCCATGGAACCTTCAAATCAAATACTTGGGCCCACCCCAGGACTGCTAAATGTGACTTCATCATTCCTACAGGCCCCTAACCCCGTGGGCCTCTATTCATCCAGGTCAAATATGCTTTGGCCACAGGGCCTTGGCACTGAAGCCCCTTCACTGGAATTTAGCTAGGCTGGGACTGCTCCCTCATCTCCATCTGCCCTTTGCTGTCTACCCTTGGACTTTTCTCTTCAGAGCACTGATCACTCTCTGACATGTCCTACATCTGTCTGCATGTTGTCAGCCTCCCTCCATCAGAATGGAGGCTCTCAAAGGGCAGGGAACTTTTTATGTTTTAGGCCCTGCTTTATACCCAGTTGGAATTTAAATCTCAGAAGTAAAAGTCTCAGCAGCTCTTAAAAAGAGTATGTTTATCCACTGACCCACGGGAGCTGTCCATGATGTTTTTCTAAGCGAAAAAGACAAGTTTAAGGGTAACGTGTATAAAATGATCGCATTTTGTTTAAGAAAAAAACAACAACAGGGTTTCTTTGTTCATATTTTCATGAGCCTGTGACAGGACATATGCCAGATTGCTAATGCAGGTTTCTCTGAAGGTAGGCATCAAAAGTGTGGGAGAGATGACCTTTTCCATAAGTAGATCCTTGAAGTGTTACATTTATCATTTCTGTAATAAAATTTCACAATACAGAAAGTTAAAAAAAAAATTCTGATCACTATCACTCCAGCCATGTAAAATGCAAAACGCAAAGCTATTTGGGTTGTAAGATAACAGAAGATGCTGATATTCTTCTTATCTTTTAGAATTTTTCTAAAACAAGCTTTTCTTAGAACTATAATTAAGAAAACAATTTTTAAAGAAGACCTTGGGAAAATAAAACAAAATCTGTTAACTCTTAGAATGCTAACTGCATATTAGGAAAACTGGCTCTGAGAGAGACTTGGCAGCTGCAACAAAGAATTAGACAGTGGGCTGTCGTCCAGCCTGCCCCTGGCCACCCAGAGACAGGCAGGAGGCTTCACTGAGAGTCAAGCTCAATGTGTGCACAAAAGGAAGGATCTCTCCCTTACACATACTGCTCTCTCTCTCAAATACAGGCACAGAGCAGTAAGGAACAAGCACCCATCTACCTTCACTGTAACTGTTACCCTGTAAATACACAGCTACCATTTATGTGGAAGAGCTAATTACATTTTTAGAAATAAAAAAGTATCCACCCAAAAAGATAGAAAACCATTATGCTAAACAAGACTGCATTTCAATCTAAAATACTATAGCCATATATAATGAAAATCAAGGACGTATCTAGACCAGTTAAAAAAAGGCTCTTAAGAAACAGTTCTAGGAATCAATAAAAATGTAACTTAAAGTTGGGTGTGGTGGCTCATGCCTATAATCTCAGTACTTTGGGAGGCTGGGGCAGGAGGACAGTTTGAGCCAAGGAGTACAAGACCAGCCTGGGCAACATGGCAAAACCCTGTCTCTACAAAAAATACAAATACTAGCTGGGTGTGGTGGTGCATGCCTGTAGTCCCAGTTACCAGGGTGCCTGAGGTGGAAGGATTGCTTGAGCCAGGGAGGTCAAAGCTGCAGTGAAAAAAAAAGTATTTAAAATTACTTAAGGGAAAAAAATCTATTCTAAATATTATGTTATAACAAGTAAATAAATTCCGTTAACCAAAGGCTGGGCGTGGTGGCTCACACCTGTAGTCCCAGCACTTTGGGAGGCCAAGGCAGGCAGATCACCTGAGACTGGGAGTTCAAGACCAGCCTGACCAACATGGAGAAACCCCGTCTCTATTAAAAATACAAAGTTAGCTGGGCATGGTAGCACATGCCTGTAATCCCACTTACTTGGAGGCTGAGGCAAGAGAATCACTTGAACCTGGGAGGCGGAGTTTGCAGTGAGCCGAGATCGCACCACTGCACTCCAGCCTGGACAACAAGAGCAAAACTCCATAAAAAAAAAAAAAAAAAAAAAAAAAAAAAAAACCCAAAACTCCATTAACCAAGAATCAGTAAGATGTACCACGTGATCACAAATGGTGGAATTCAATTATCTTGCTACTAGTACTCTTATACTGGTAAAAGCCACTTAAATTCAACAAAGACCAGGGCCAGGGGAAAAAGAAGCGGAAACTTTACACACCAGAGCATGAACTTATGCCAACATTTCTTCTTTACATAATTCAAAATGGTTTGCAGATACTTTAAGTAGAGAGATCTAAAATGTACATTCTCACTCCTACAGAAAAGCTATCACTTGTATTTCTTGACTCACTACCTATTCTTTATTCAATGTGCAAGTACAATAAACTCAGACTACTGACTACAGTATAGAATGAAACACATTTACAGTTAGGATTTGGAGGGATTACAAAAAGACTATCCCGGCTGGGCGTGGTGGCTCACAACTGTAATCCCAGCACTTTGGGAGGCCGAGACAGAAGGATCACTTGAGGTCAGGAATGAGATCAGCCTAGCCAACATGGTGAAACCCTGTCTCTACTAAAAATACAAAAATTAGCCAGGCATGGTGGTGGGCACCCGTAATCCCAGCTACTCATGAGGACGAGGCAGGAGAAGTGCTTGAGCCTGGGAGGCTGAGGCCACAGTTAGCAGAGATCACGCCACTGCCCTCCAGCCCGGGGACAGAGCGATACTCCATCTCAAAAACAAAGACTATCCAGTGGCACAGAAAATCAACATAATCAAAATGTGATGCATACCTCTTTTTCCCTCATTTTTTTACAGTAGTACTATATATATATATGTATATATATAAAAACATAAAACGTACCATCTTACCTATTTTTATGTGCACATTTCAGTGGCATTAAGTACACTCACACTATTGTGCAACCATCATCACTATCCATCTCCAGAACTCATTTCCTCTTGCAAACTGAAACTCTGTACCCATTAATAAATAACTTCTCATTCCCCACTTTACTGAGCCCCTGGCAACCACCAACTTACTTTTTGTTTCTAGTGATACATACCTTTTTGGTAGGATGAACAATGTGTTTTTCTTTGTTGTAGGAAGGATCCGAAGGTAAAACTGCAGAAGATGGTATACTAACATTTTTAGGATCTGCTGATGAAGCAATGGTCTTTAAGTTTATCATAGAAGTGACATTTTTAGGGGCTGGTGACAGTTCTGTAGATAATGTCTGTCGAACAACATAACCCATTGGTGTCCAAGATAACTCTGCTCAAAGATAATCAAAATTGTTGGACAATCTCAACAGTAAAATAGAAATTCCTTAGTTACTCAAACATGCATTACATGAGGTAACTGCTTGGAGTATAAATAAATGTAGGCTATCATGTACAACATCCTCTTGGAAACTATAGTAGTCACTAAACTTGTTTTTCTCCCTGGAGCATGCTGCTGAATTTTTTCCCTTTTAACTTGAGGTTAATTTTCCCGGAAACTGGTTTTATAACCTGGGGTTTGGAGGTGGGTAGACAAACAGTTTTAGTAAAACAACAATCCACAATAAACGTCCACGTGACAAGCACACAGAATTAACGAACTAAGGATCAAATTTTGGCCCTACTAACCTTGAAGTGTACCTTTAACATGAGAAGCCAAAGATCACTAGACTTCAGCTAATCACAATAACTGGTAATTTATTTCTTTTAGAACAGAGGCATAAGTACAGCAACACTACTCCTTTAGGTGCCCATCAAACTCTATATACAGACAAAACAAAAGGACATCTATTGGGACCCAGGCAGATGAACACCTGTTAGCAGCCTGTGGCTACCCTTAAGGGTAAGGCAGACTATTCTCATCACTAGAGAACTATACATCCTCAGAGCAGCCAGTGAAATACAGACCATTACTCAACCACATACACATCAAACGTGAGAACACGAAAGAAAACACCCTATGAATACATTTGGAATCATTTTGTAAAAATGCCTTCTGTTAGGACAAGCTACTGTAAAAATTTCAAAGCAGGATACATGGAACTCTCTCTGAATGTATTACTTCTTGGCCAGGACAGGACAGATAAATAGTCCTCACAGTGTGGCAGGAGGCTCCCAGGACCATTGCAGGGGTCCATGGGGTCAAAACCCTTTTCCTGGAGTACGAATGTGTTAGTTGTCTTCAATACTCTCTCTCTCTCACGAAAACACCTGGGAGTCTTCCAAATGCTGTGTGAGGCAGGACCACGAGGCAGGTGAATGCCGTGGCAGATCTACAGAGCCAGATGGCAGAGCTGCACAAGTGGAAAGCAAGGCTGCTCTCCACACTACAGCTTTTTAATTTTGAAAAATGGTTTTCATAAAAATATGGTATGTTAAAATATAATACACTTTTTATTATTTTCTTTTTTTTTTTGAGACGGAGTTTCGCTCTTGTTACCCAGGCTGGAGTGCAATGGCGCCATCTCGGCTCACTGCAACCTCCGTCTCCTGGGTTCAGGCAATTCTCCTACCTCACCCTCCTGAGCAGCTGGGATTACAGGCACGCGCCACCATGCCCAGCTAATTTTTTGTATTTTTAGTAGAGACGGGGTTTCACCATGTTGACCAGGATGGTCTCAATCTCTTGACTTCGTGATGCACCCGCCTCGGCCTCCCAAAGGGCTGGGATTACAGGCATGATTATTGTTATTTTCAAGCAAATCAATTATTTAAAACATTTGTTTTAACTTTGAAAGGGCAAATATTAACTGGTATCACCCAAATAAACAGGAGCTCTTTGGGGTTCTCAATATTTAAGGGTTTCAAAAACTTTTCAGAATAGGCAATACTAAAGGAAGCAGTCATTGCTGAATTCATAAAATTTCTCACTGAATTGGAAGTATATTTCATTTAGAATTCCTGTCTCTTATTTTATACTCCTTGTATGTGGATGTGGGATCTCATTTACCTACTTTAACTTTCTAAACTAACATTGATGTTTGGTTACCCACAACTCATTAGCTATCTTAAGGCTTTACAACAGAAACCATTTCAATTTTACTGGAGTTAAAAATGAACTCAGAAACTATATGACATTTTAAAAATTAATATTTTGTAGCCACTTTTACCTCTTGTACATGAAGGAGAACTGGTAGCAGCATTAGCAGTTACAGATTCATTTGGGTTATTGTTTTTCACCATTTCACCCTAAAAAGCAAACACATTAGATGTCAATAGAGAAATGCAAATTAAAACAAGGCAATACTACTACATACCAAAATCCAGAACACTGGCAACGGAAATCCTTATTCACTGCTGCTGAGAATGAAAAATGACACAGCCACTTTGGAAGATATTTAATAGTTTAGCAACTCCTTACAAAACTAAACATACTCTTACCATATGATCTAGCCATTATACTCCTTAGTAATTAACCAAAGGAGCTGAAAACTTATGTCCACACAAAAACCTGCAAACAGGTGTTTAGAGCAGCTTTACTTATAACTGCCACAGCTTGGAAGCAGCCGAGATGTCCTTAAGTAGGTGAATGGGTAAACTGTGGTATATCCAGATGATGAACTACTATGGATCCCTAAAAGAATGTACTATCAAAGCCATGAAAAGACATGGAAGAAACTTAAATGCACATTTCCATGTGAAAGAAGCCAATCTAAGAGGGCTACATACTATATGATTCCAACTATATAACATTCTAGAAAAGACAAAACTGTGGAGACAATAAAAAGATAGTAGCTAGGAGGAACTAAGGGGAGGGAGGGATAAACAAGTAGAACACAGATTTTTAGGGCAGTGAAACCACTCTGTACCATACTACAATGATAGACGCACATCATTATGCAGTTCCCCAAAGTCTTAGAAGACACAACAACAGCAGCAACAGTGAACCCTAAAGCAAACTATGGGCTCTGGGTGATAAGGACATGTCACTGCACATTCATCAATAGTTACAAATGCATCACTCTAGCACAAGATGTTGATAATGAAGGAAGCTGTGTGTTGTGTGGGGGCATATGGGAAATCTCTGTACCTTCCTCTCAACTTTGCTGTAAACCTAAAACTGCTCTTGAAAATAAAATCTATTTCTTTTTAAATCCAAAGCAGTTATTCTCCATTTAAAATTCAAAGTAATCACTTAATTTTAAAATATAGCTTCCCTTGCCATTCTTAAATTCTGCAAAATATATGCTAAAATTTCCAAATATATAAGTACATAAAGTGAAAAGTTAAATTACTTCCTTCAACCAAATCTCACTCCCTAGAGGAAAACACCACCCACATCTATAGCTTCATTAGTATCCCTCTACTTCTTTGCTTATGATATAAACATTTGTGAATCATATTTTTATATGGATTCCCATAATGGAATCATACCACACATGATGTTGTAGCAACTTTTAAAAAAACTTTAACATATCACTGACAAACTTTCCAAGTTGGCACAGATGCACCACACAATTCTTAAAGCTGCAATGATCCCATGTAAATGAGAAAGCCATCATTCACTAGGCCTACACACCAAAGTCTAACAATCCATCAAAATGTCTGTCTACAAAAACAACAAATGTAAGCCTGCAACATATGAGCCCCCTGACACCCGACCTGTTTTTTTGGAGACGGAATCTTGCACTGTCGCCCAGGGCTGGAGCACAGTGGCACCATCTTAGCTCACCCCAACCTCTGCCTCCCAGGTTCAAGTGATTCTTCTGCTTCAGCCTCCTGAGTAGCTGGGATTACAGGCACCGCACCATGCCAGCCTAATTTTTTTTTCTGTTTTTTTTTTTGTTTTTGTTTTTTTTTTTTTAAGTAGAGACAGGGTTTCACTATGTTGTCCAGGCTGGTCTCGAACACCAGACCTCGTGATCTACCCACCTTAGCCTCCCAAAGTGCTGCGATTACAGGTGTGAGCCACTATGCCTGGCTATGTATGCCCCCTTTAATAAAGACAGAAAACTGTCTCACATATTAAACATAAGATATATAATGACACTATGTGTATGGGGGGATCGAGTATATTAAAAGGCTCCTCCAAGTCACTAACAACACCAGAGGTAAAAGTAAATTAAAAAATTTGAAGCTGAATCCATTAAGTAGACAATGGATGTAAAATAATTTTAAAAATTCCTATGCTTCACAAATTTACCCATTTGCTAATTCATAACACGATGCAGGAATAAAAAATAAAATTATTAAAGCACAGCCTGTTTTTTTTAGTAAACATAACTTTTGTGCTTACCAAGGTCAACAAAAAATTAGAAATAGTTTACCTGTTCAAGAATGGTTAAATAAATTATGTCAGTATGAGAGATCCAATGCAACAGTTGTTTTAAAAAAATACTTAATGACATAGAAAAAATACCAACAAAGTTTTAAAAAATTCAAACATAAGACTACACATATGTATAATTTCAAGTTGAGGGAAATTCCTGCAAGAGACCATTTTTAAAAGATTATGTGTTAAGCAAGCTTTTATTTTGGTTGTACAATTTCAGACAAATTTTGTGTATGTGTCATTTACAGACATTACTAATATCAAGAAAAAGTTTCTTGGAAGGAAAATAAATTTTTTAAAAGCCCACACATAATTCAAAAGTATATGGGGCTCTTAATAGAGCAATCAGTATGTGTATCTTCTACCTTAGTTCATGTTTAAACACATTAACAGTCACAGGTAATAAGTGACCTTGATATAAAGCACCAGTCACATTCCTGCTCACTCCATGAGCCAACCCTGAGGGTTACACGGCATCCTGGACTACTGTAGGGCACTCGTGAGAAGTGCACATGATGAAGACCGAAAGCCCGGTGGCTATTCAGCCACTGCACAGACCCAACAACAGCATGAGGGTCCTGCATGCAAACTGCTACACAAAGGTGTATCTTCTTTCTTTTTTTTGAGGCGGAGTTTCGCTCTTGTTACCCAGGCTGGAGTGCAATGGTGCGATCTTGGCTCACCGCAATCTCTGCCTCCTGGGTTCAGGCAATTCTCCTGCCTCAGCCTCCTGAGTAGCTGGGATTACAGGCACGCGCCACCATGTCCAGCTAATTTTTTGTATTTTTAGTAGAGACGGGGTTTCACCATGTTGACCAGGATGGTCTCAATCTCTTGACCTCATGATCCACCTGCCTCGGCCTCCCAAAGTGCTGGGATTACAGGCTTGAGCCACTGCGCCCGGCCACAAAGGTGTATCTTCTGCACATTACCAGCAACTGTCACTGACCCTTCAAGACCTTAGTGTCCAGGCACCTAACATAAGTCCAGGGGCAGGAAACAAGTCCTTTCTCAATTCAAGAGGTAATTTTTGCTTGCCTTCATACTGGCACGTATCCCACCACTCCTTCAGTGGAAATTCATCAGAAGCCATTTTAGGGACTACTAATCAGATGCTACTTATTCTTGGTAGTCTCAAATCAATCTATTTGAGAGAAATACCTCAACATGGTGGACTAAAACTTTGAGATCAAATGTTGAACAAAGTGAATTACTTGCTGTAATAACTTTTCCTGAATTTGCTGTATCGTTAACAAGACAAAGATGTAGATAAAAGCCTGGAAAATTCAGAAGTTACAGTATGCAGTTTTAAATATTATGACATTAAGTCCTCACTTAACACCATGGATAGGTTCTTGGAAACTGTGACTTTAAACTAAACCATATAAAACAAAATCAATTCCTTTTTTTCATCAACATCATAATGAAATGATGGTGAAGGAAATGTTAATGGAGGACCTGCTATACAGCTTTCATTTAAAGTTGCAGTTTCCTTGAGCAGAACAAATTAAAAATAAGAATAATAAATAAATAAATAAATAATAAAGTTGTAGTTTCCAAGAACCTATTGACAACATTATGTGAGGACTTAATGCATTTTGATTTTTAAAAAAGTTTTTTTTTCTATATTGGAAAAGCTGCTATCAGAATGCTAGAAGCAATGTGTTCAAAATGGTCTGTCAAAGCAGCTAGCCTCTGCCAGAATCTTCTCCTTCTAAGGCACTACAGTACCTTTTAGCTACCAAATAAAAAGGAGTACACTAGGCTGGGCACAGTGGCTCACACCGATAATCACAGCACTCTGGAAGGCCAAGGCTGGTGGATCACCTGAGGTCAGAAGTTCAAGACCAGCCTGACCAATATGGTGAAACCCTGTCTATGATAATACAAAAAAATTAGCCAGGCGTGGTAGCATGTGCCTGTAGTTCCAACTACTCAGGAGGCTGAGGCAGGAGAATTGCTTGGACCTGGGAGGCAGGGGTTGCAGTGAACCAAGAAGCCAAGATTGCGTCACTGTAAGCCAGCCTGGGCGACAGAGCGAGACTCTGTCTCAAAAAAAAAAAAAGGGTATACTAGGTGATTCTTTTAAAACCATAGCCACACCAGGTGTTACAGCCTCGCTATAAACTGTTCTAACAAAGAAGGTCATTTAAATGCACAATGAAAGCCTTCCCCCAATGTATCCTCCCCAGCTCCACGGACGTCAAAGCCCACATCAGGATTTAATGTGTAATGTTTGAAATGAGACAATTGAAAAAGTGCGTACCAAGAAAAAGTAAGAGAGCGAGAACCCCTCACCTCACCTTTGATAACACTGAGGCTGGTTTTACTACTTCTCTTAGAAGAGAAGTGTTGGTAGAGGCAGAGTGGACAGGCCCCCACTTGGGTTGCTTCTGTAACCCTGACATATTGTTTTCTGCACCCTGCAGTTCAGGAAAGTCCAATGTGGTAAATTCAAACTCAGGTTTGGAGGTAGATACATTTTTTGCAACGATTTTCGATTTCCTGTCTGTTCGCTTATGGTAACCATCTGTAATTACAAAATTAAAAGTGGGAATAAAAATTGAGTTACTGTTCGATGACCGGTACTCAAGCAAAAATTGCACAGTAGAAAGACTATTGCTATTGATGCAACAGGTTGTTGTCAAAACACCATAAGTCTCACCAGTGTTGATAACCTTCCTTTGTAAAAGTATAAAGTTTAAATGATCAGAAGTATCAATCACTCTGGTTGGGCCATTATGCAGAAAAACCAAAATGCACTGCACATTTTAAGAGTATGTACAGTCACGCACCACACAATGATGGTCTGGTCAACAATGGGTTACATATACGACATCCCCAAAAGATCGTAACGAAGCTGAAAAATTCCTATTGCCTACTGGTAACGTCATGGTGTGATGCATTACTCATGCGTTTGCGGTGATGCTGGTGTAAACAAACCTACTGAGCTAACAGATGTATAAAAGTATACTACATACAATTATGTAAAGTACATAATACTCGATAATGATAATAAACAACTATGTCACTTGTTTATGTATTATACTTTTTATCTTTGGAGTATATAGTCCCTATACTTACAAAAAAAAAAAAAAAAAGCTGGCCGGGAACAGTGATTCACACTTGTAATCCCAGTACTTTGGGAGGCCAAAGCGGGCAGATCACTTGCAGCCAGGCGTTGGAGACCAACCTGGCCAACAAGGTAAAACCCCAACTCTACTAAAAATACAAAAATTAGCTGGGTGTGGTGGCATGTGCCTGTAATCCTAGCTACTTGGGAGGCTGAGCAATTCTCCTGCCTCAGCCTCCCAAGTGGCTGGGCTTACAGGCGTGCATCACCACACCCAGCTAATTTTGTATTTTCAGTAGAGATGGGGCTTCTCCATGTTGATCAGGCTGGTCTTGAACTCCCCACCTCAGGTGATCCACACACCTTGGCTTCCCAAAGTGTTAGAATTACAGGCGTGAGCCACCACACCTAGCCTTGTATCTTTTTACTATATTTTTACTACACCTTTTCTATATTTTGATACACAAATACTTACCACTGTTACAGTTACCTACAGTATACAGTACAGTTCTAAAGGTTTATGAGTTAGGAGCCATAGGCTATATCATATAGCCTAGCCAGGTAGTAGGCTACACCATCTAGGTTTGTGTAAGTACATTCTAAATGCTCCCACAATGATGAAACTAAGGACACATTTCTCAGAATGTGTACCCATCAGTAAGTAAGGCATGACTGTAATTCTAAGGCTAATGAAAAAGATTACCTTAACATGATTGTGCAGCTGGGCATTTTAATTATTCTTAATATAAATTTTAGAGTACTGTAAATTAAAGGGACTCTAATGAATTTTCTGTGCTCGTAAACCTTCCATCTTTCAGTGTGCTGGAATAAACTAGAGGGAAGCAGGTTGCATAAAATGCATAACCTCAGGCCAGGCATGGTGGGTCACACCTGTAATCCCAGCACAGGCAACACAGGGAGACCTTGTCTCTTAAAATAACAACAACAACAACAACAGAGCAAAACCTCTTTCTCATCTTTCTCTTGAAATGCAATGTATAATAAGACAGGCTGCAACTCCATGAAGCCCCTCATTTAATTATAAGACCAGAGTTACTACAGTTAATACACTTCCCTTGTACCAGACGGTTTATAAGTGAAGTCAATGAAAAGAGAAAAATGTATATACCAAATAATACAAATTATAGGCACTACAGAGCCCACAATGCAACAGGTACCAAATTATAATCCCATCCCTGGGAAGAAAGACCCCTAGAATCGCTCCCTGACGCCATCAGCTGTGTCAGTCCCAGGTTTCAATTCTTGGAGTAGTCACAATGAACAAGCCCACAGAAACAGCTGTATACACAGCAGGACTGTTTCTGGGGCACATGGGGTAGGCTGGCTTATACTACATAGTTGGTTATTTTTACCTGATTTCAAACTATTCTCAGCATAAATGGACAAATGATGTGAACCTCTAGCTGATTTTATCTCAGATGATGTAGTTCCATCAGCCCTTTTACTGTCAAACTTTTGCTCATCATATGTTTTTTTCTCATCATAGGCTTTTTTCTGCAGGAAAAGATTAAAAAGCAACATGAAATAAGAAAACCATCACTATAAAAAAGGTTTAAAGTAGCAAAATTTTTTTTTTTTTTTTTTTTTTTTGAGACAGAGTTTCGCTCTTGTTACCCAGGCTGGAGTTCAATGGCGCCATCTTGGCTCACTGCAACCTCCGCCTCCTGGGTTCAGGCAATTCTTCTGCCTCAGCCTCCCGAGTAGATGGGATTACAGGCACGCGCCACCATGTCCAGCTAATTTTTTGTATTTTTAGTAGAGACGGGGTTTCACCATGTTGACCAGGATGGTCTCAATCTCTTAACCTCGTGATCCACCCGCCTCGGCCTCCCAAAGTGCTGGGATTACAGGCGTGAGCCACCGCGCCCAGCCAAAGTAGCAAAATATTAAGTATTCACAATATAATCATTTTTTTAAAGACCAAATTATTTTTTAAAAGGTTAAATACAAAAAAAAAAAATACACAGTGCTTAAACATGATGAACAAATTTGCCATTTCTTTACAACTTAAACATTAAAGCAACCAACTAAAGGACACAGCAAAACATCATTACTCACCTTAAACAGAGCTTTCATTTCTTGCGGTAGAGAGCACATGTTCTCATTTCCATGCTTCACGGTTTGAAAACCTCGGTAACAACTGGGATGGTTATAGTGATAGTGGGAGCCAGGCACTGAGTAAACATTCTGTGTAGAGTCAAGGGTATAAGGAGAATAGGCATATGGATGAAGAGTTATCTCAGAAGATATATACTGAGGTGGAAAAGTTGAAGCTCCAAAGGCCATGTCTTCAGTGTATATTTTCTGCCTAAGTAAAAAGCGTAAACTTTAGCTGCAGATTTCATACAGCAAGCCAAGAAGCTTTTCTGTAATAAACTAAGTCAAACTTCTTAACTTATTAATATTTTTGAGATCATTCACTCTAGCATTCGATCATTCACTCATTTTAAATATTCCTAATTAAAAGCCAAATAAAATCTGAGTGTTTCTTTCTCACCCTGCAAAGAAAGATGTCGACACTATTTTTTCACTAATGAGCTGGAAGTTCACAAGAAACATCAACAGAGCCAGAATATGTCCCAGCAGCTTTTTACTCAACCGCTGCCGAGTATTTGGGAAAGCCTTTCCCAGCAACCCTGGCCAAAATGCCCCTAAAGACCATTATTTCTGCTGAGGGGAGATCCAACAGCCTGCAATGCCTCCCTCAGGGATCCTGCAAATGGTTTTCTCCAGCCCTTTCTTGCTCCAAGCCCACCACCACATCCTGCACTTTGCTGACTATCAGAACCGGAGTGCAAAGAAGATACTGCATGGCGCCGTGGCTGGAAACTACACATTTTACTAACAAGATGGATGCCAGCTTTGAAAACTGCTATTGTCTCGGTTTTTCCCAAGCTGGTAGAGTAAACCAAAATATAATTTAACACTGATTTTTCTTTGTTAGCCAATTTGATGTAAGGCTACAGGTTTCAACCTTTTTCCCACAAAAGCTGATACAATGACAAAATGCTAAGCAACTGATTCGAAATATAAATAGTAATCTCCTCATTCCAGCAAATGTTTCTGTTAATTTCCAAAGCTATTCCAAAACGTACCAGTACATTAAAAGGCAGCAAAATCCAAACCTAATCGTGACACACCCTATAAGATCTTCAAACTGTTACGCTGTCAGCAGATAAGAGCATAGGTACCGCTTACTAGAAATTGTATTACTAATCTGGGCAAGTAAGAGACTACACTAAGAAAGGGAGACTACAGGCTCTACCTATAATATAATCATGTTTACTGCTTTCACTTCTATCCAATACTTAATCATATATTACCTCATCTCGCTATGTACTATTTCATGATATGTTAACTTAGATTTTCTAAGATCTTTTAATTATAGGTAATTAATTTTGACATGAAATATTCCTAATTAAAAACCAAATAAAACCCGTTTTACTGACCTTTGTCTGTCCCATAAAACAACTGGCCTAGCACTGCTCCAAACATACAGCACTGAGGGCTAGCTCTTTGTAGAGAAGAGTAGGCTCAAAGCTTCATCCCACTGCCTATATGTTCCTGTGAATTCAGTGCTGTATTTTGTTTGGGGCTCAGAAAAGTAAGCTGGGGGCAAGTGTCAGTGAAGGTAGATAACGTGTTCTTCATAAGAAAAGATGGGTTGATAGAAAAAAAAAATAGTGAAAAAGACTATCCTAAGTCCAACAAGCAGATAAATAAACAGACAAAAGAAATGTAGCTAAAAAGGAAAGCAGGGACAGGGTCCATTGGTTTTGACGGCTGCTGTCATCCAGGAAATTTTCATCCAGGAGTCAGGAGACCTTGGTTGGGGTCCTAGCTCTGTTACAATCCAGTTTTCCAATCTGGATAAGTCATTTGGGTTTTGTCCCCTCACTGGTCCGTCCTCCTCTAGAAAGTTGGCATTTTCCATTTCCATCCAGTGCAAACACAATTACATGCAGAAAACAATACCAAATATCAAAGCAGTAATTCACAGCATCTGGTGTGGCTTCAAAGGCATGTCTGGGAAATTCTAGATGGCAGGAGTGGCCCAGATGACCCTAAACCCACAGTGACACACCTGTTTCTCATTCACTGTCATACACTGCCCCATCCACACTCTGAGTCAAACTGTCTGAGTACCTGTACAATACCTGCTGGTCTCCTGGCTCCACTTTCCTTTGCCCCTTTTCTACCAATGGCTTCCAGGTCTCCCAGGACCTCCTTCTTGTCTTTTCCTCCAGGCACTTGCTGGGTCTAGGCTTGACCATCACATGACTTGAAAAACTCCCCGGCCTGGACTTTGCTAGCTTGGCTCTTACCTGCCCTCCAAGGCTCTATCTCTGTCTCTTTCCCTGGTGCAGTCTCCTCTACACCCTCACCTCACCCATCAGACACATTCTGAGTCAGAACCTCTTATCCTTCTGCTTAGGACTTGACGTAAATACAAACAACCAGCACTTTCCCCAGTCTAGGTCTCCATCTCCAATTTTCAGGTCATTTCCACTTAGCAATTTCACTTGTTCCCAATTCAGTACATATAAATCCCAAATTTAACATCCAGTCTGCAAACCAGTCCCATTTACAACTTCTGTTGTCATGAATGATTCTACAATTATTTCCATGTATTCAACTGAATATCTTTATAATATCTTTCCCACCAAAACCTGTATGGACAATCATGGAACTCTTTTTTATTTCAACAGGTCTCATGTAGTTTCTTTATTATTTCCAGTACCTAGAACCTGGTCAAAGCCTTCAAGACCCTCTCCTCTAAAAACCTAACCAGAATTCAGGAGTGATTACAATAAGCCCATTTAAAATACTACCAGAAGTTTTCCATTGCCTACCCAGCAAACCTAAAACTTTTCAGCCGTACTATGCAGGCTTCCAAACTACTGACAGCTTCCCCCCAAAATTATCATCTTATTCCTCTACTATCTCCCAAACATATCATGCACATGGTCCCTTCAGTCAGGCCAGGACCCAAAGAGGATGCAGTTTCTCCTCCATCCACCAAACTGACCTGAGCCATGTGCTCAGCTGTACGATGCTATATACCACTAGTTATTCTCATAGCTCATCTGCTTTAACTCAAAAGCATCAACTAGTGCTAAAATTTTCATAGTATATTGACAGATGGTGAAAATGCTCAAATGCCTCTTGTCAACAGCGGTAGCAGTTTTGGAGAATACCATGTTAATTCTGGTTCTGGTGCTACCCATTTGAATTAGAATGAACAAACACTTCCAGCTTCAGTTTCCCATGTGCAAAAATAACATTACATCTGCCTGCCACCTCATGGATTGTAGTAACCATGAAAGAAGAGAAAGCATACAATAATACTCAAATAAAAGGCCCACATCCTCATACACAGGTGGCACAGGACTTGTCACAAAGGATGTACCATGACAATGGACATTACTTGGAACAAACTTACTTTGTCTGTACAGGCAAATTTGTTTCTTACATCAGTAAATAATTGGTATTTTCCAAACATGGCAAATGTTATCTGTTAAGACTACTTCTAATGATATTTTTTTGTCTTGTCCTATAACATAAATGTGGAAGAATTTGGTATGTTCGTTTTCATCTCCATCACTTCAAAACTATGAAGACTTCCAATAATTAATTCCAAATGAATAAATGAATATCTTTGAGTGCACTGTGAAAGGTACTGGAGTGGAACAGATTCTGTAAAAGATTACTACACCTTCTTTAAGGAAAGATGAGGGAAGGGGACATACAAAGATGACTTGCTACGTAGTTGAACAAGAGAGAGGAAATATTTGTTTCAGAAACTTCTATTCCTTTTATCATGGCAGCAAGAGCTCTCCATTTACATGTAATCTCACTATAGCAATGAAATTTTTAATCTACATTAGAATTGCCCAGATAATCAATTCTCAACTACTTGAAGTCTCATTATTTCATCCCCACTTTAAAGGTTCTTTTCTTTTCTAACTCTTCCTCTTCCACTTAATGCTTTCCTTATCCTTGTTTTCTTGCCAGGCATGATCACTGTGAGTCTATCTTTTCCTTGGTGATAAATCAAAGCTAAAAAAGAAGAGGTAAGAAAACTTAATTTTTAAACTCAGCACTGCCCATTCCTGAGTCTCTGATTAGTCTCCACTCATTTTACTGCCAAAATGTTGTTTTAGCCATGTGAATGTTTTCCACCACTATTTTGAGTAACTGGGATACCACCTAGCAGATGGCTTTGAGTTCCTGTCACTGAGATATATTTTTGTATTTTGTTATGTGAGACACTCGAGGTAGGGAACAACTCAAGTGAGACCCATGTCCCACTCCCCTTTATAATGGATGAAATACAGTGGAAAAATAGGGTATTCCTAGCAAAGACCAAATTCCAGCACATAAACGTAGGGTTTCAACTTTTGTCAAAAAAAATACAACTTTCAGTATTTCCTAAATACATCAGATGACTTGATGATTTTATTATTCATTACAACTCTCATTCTTGCAAACATTATTCTAGAATTTATATATAGTACAAACTATTTTCAATCACACCATTTGGGCACAAAAAAAGGAAACAAGTATAAATCACATAAAAGAAGAAGAAAGCACAAGAATTCTTAGAACTACACCTGATGCCAATATTAAAAGCTGATCTACAAATAAATCTACAAAATTATATGAAAGATTAATATTTTGTCTAAATTCACCTAAAAGTGGAAGCCATTTTGTAAATACCTAGAGAATGAATCTTGAGGAGGAAAAAGAAAATTTTAGGAAAAATGTAAGCCACCTTTCGACTCAAATTTAGAAGAACTTAAACCTGAAATGTGTAAAATTCACCTCCATATAACATATGTAAAGCAAAATTGTGGAAAGTCAAAGTCAACAATTTCCAAAGAATTATCCACAGAGGAGCTATGGTTGCTAGTCCCCTCCCCTTCCCCGAACAAGATTTTAATAGGTTAAATCCTAAAAATGAGGAGTATGTTTATTTGGTCCCTCCTTTGCCCTTCCCCCCACATTTCATCTCCCATTAGATACATGATATGTTTTTAAACCATATGAACAAATGAACCTTAAAACAGTACTTTTTTTTTTTTGAGACAGAATCTTGCTCTGTCTCCCAGGCTGGAGTTCAGTGGTGTGATCTTAGCTCACAACAACCTCTGCCTCCCGGGCTCAAGGGATTCTCCTGTCTCAGTCTCCAGGATAGCTGGGATTATAGATGCCAGCCACCAAAGCTGATTAATTTTGTATTTTTGTGGAGATGGGGTTTCACCATATTGGCCAGGCTGGTCTCGAACTTCTGACCACAGGGGATCCGCCTGCCTTGGCCTCCCAAAGTGCTAGGATTATAGACATTAACCACAGTGCCTGGCCTGAAACTGCGTTTCTTCTAATACATGAAATACAGTCTCTATCATGTCTTTGCCCAAAATAACAATGGGTATGGAGAAAAAAACGGGAGTTAAAGCTTCTGTTTCTGGCCCAGGACACAGTTAAGTTGTGCTACTGGCTCAGACTCTTCTTGGCTGAAGAGCATTCTCTCATCATTTGCAGAACTTTAGTGTAATAACTGATGAGTATTTGAAAGTCTAATCACCATTAAATCCAAAAAGCCCCTTGGTAAGACAGTTATTAAGATACATGCTCAGCAACATGGAGAAACCCCGTCTCTATTAAAAACACACACACACACACACACACACACACACACAAAAAAAAAAATTAGCTGTGCGTGCTGGCGCACGCCTGAAGTCCCAGCTACCCCGGAGGCTGAGGCAGGAAAATCACCTGAACTCAGAAGGCGGAGGTTGCAGTAAGCCAAGATCGCGCCACTGCACTCCAGCCTGGCAACAGAGCAAGACTACATCTCCCCCCCGCCCCCAAAAAAAGGAAAGACACATACTCGGTCACTGGTGGTTCCTGAACAAACGGATAGTATGTGGCTGCAGAGCTGGGGAAAACACATGCTTCTGAGGACTCTAACCATGCCACATTGAGCCCGGCAAATCTGGGGACAAACGGTTTGACATCTGCTGATAACTTGATGCCCTGAGGAAAAAAAATTAGGTTTTGGGTACAAACATTCAGAGATCAAGCAAATGTAAACAAACAAGCAAAACCGAAGAGGCGTTCCTAACACCCAGAAATGTTCCCAATGTTGTTCAAAAACTTCTGCCTCGTAAAGGCAAGAATCTGCTTGCTAATGATTTCTCCCCAATGTTTTTTTTGTTAGAAAAGGCAGTAGTCCAAACATTAAAAGTGAAAAAGAAGCACAACCAATTAAAGTGGAAATAAAACTTAACCCAGATTATATAACCCACAACTGAAAACGTTTCCGTAATTTTAATCTTGGAATAAGAGATTCAGTTAGAAATAACAGAACTGTAGAAGGCACACAGTACAACTACTACAGTCAAATATACACGTGGAATGTTTACAGCACGCAAAACACACTGCAGACGTTTATTTTCATTAGATTTTCTTGAAAATGTTACACAAAAGCATTTGCATTTTACTCATGAACCACTAAGTCTTGTTTTATTGAAATACCAAAGCTTGCTTTGCTAGAAAACCTTAACACCACGAGCCTTTGAAATCTGAATTCAATAAATGTCTTTATTGAATTTTTTTAGTCACGTACTAAGAGGTTCACTTTCACCGAGAATTTTGAGTCTAAAAGTAATGCATTTGATCGCCAGGGCTCCATCTAGTGGTAATGCTGAGTATGTACAGCGGAGAATGACTTAAGAAAACGCAAGGTCCTTTAAAACAATCCGTTCCCAAGAGCGCGGGAAGCTCGCCAGAATCCCCCCGCCCCGACTGCAGGGAGCTCGGGGCAGGGCGGCAGTCACTGCGCTTGGTGACACCGCACGGTAGACCCGGCGCTAACCGTGGGCGGGGTCTGCAGCCGCTGACCACCACCCCAAGGCGGGCCCGGGGCGGGGCGTGGAGATAGCGGCCACCCGGTAGGGCGCTGCCGTGCCGTTACCAGCCTCCGACCCACGCCCGTCGGACCAGCCCGGTCACCGCCCGACCGAGCCCCCAGTGGAAGGCAGGCCGACGGGCTGAGGCTGCCGAGAGAGCGCCCGTCGGCGCGGGCAGCCCTTACCTCGCTTTCGGGCTCCCGCAGCCCCTCCGACGCCATGGCGCGAGGCGTGGAGGAGGCCGCGCCGGGAGGCCAGCAGCCGGCCGTCGGCTGGCCTGAAAGACAAAGCGTTTCCGCCCTCGCATGCGACGCCAGGAAGTGCGTCACAGAAAAGCGACAGAGCCCGCCCTTCCTTCCGGCCGGAAGTACGGGGTGGCTGCACTGGACCTGCGCGGGTCGCACGTGGAGAGCAGTGAGGAGCGTGCGGGAGCTGCGGACCCCAGGAATCCTTTGGGCTGGGGACTCACCATAGCTTACGGGAGCCTCAAATGTGCCCTTTAGTGCTGGAATATCGGAGATAGTCTCCACCAAGGCAGCAGCGAGAGCCCGTGATTTACTCTGGTCTCTTGAACCTCACGAGTCTAGTGTTAGGGCGGCAGATAGCCCGGAAAGGCCCTTTGCTGAGGTGACCTTTGAGCAGTCACCTGAAGAGGAAGGAGGTTTACTAATAAGGAGGCCGAGATTATTCCCGCCCCACCACTGCATTTCCCTAAGGTTTCCTCAAGATTGGTGACTTATACAGGATTTGCATACCCTGTCTTACAAATCTGGAAAGCCTCCAAACTCTTGTACATTTCCAGAAACGCTGAGTTTGGAAGTAGCCACAGAAAACTTAAAAATTGCTCGTTTCTTTCGAAAGTTAAAAAAAAGTGCTAAGACATGGTCAAGAGATGGAATCGTAGTTTAATTTTCACGAGGGTAAAAAGCTCTACACACAGCAAATTCGTTAAAATAACTTTTGTCTTAAACACATAGGGCGAGGCGGGGATTGGAGGTTGACCAAAGGTACAGGAAAAGAATGCAGAGCGGACTTCAATAGATGGAAGAGGAACTTCCTTCTCGCTCAAAGGCTTAGAGGAAAGTGCAAGTGGATTTAAGAAACAGAAAATGTTATAGGCAAAATAAGCCTTTTGAGGAATGGGGAATTTATTAGGTTGAGGCAAATTGTAGGTTTCCTCCATCCCTTGCACAGACTAACTCATTGAATACCAAGTATTTCAAGCAAGTAAGGCAGGCGCAGCTCCAGTTTTTCCAGATTTCTGTCCAAGTATGTCCCAGTTTGCTACATGGCCTCTAACAGAAGTGAATCTTAGGGTCTCGTCTGGCAGGAATTTATGCTGGGAGTGGTGGCTTTCACCTTCCTTTCAGCACTACTGGGTCTAAGGTGTAATGTTTACTGAATTTTGTCATGTTTGTTAGTTACCCTGTACACGTCCTGTGGTGGTGGCAGTGAGGTGGGGGGAAGTGGAGTCTAGGAATGTTGCTAATCACAACCTTCAAAATTTATTGTTCTCATATGTAAAGACACACTTTCTTAACCAAGGGACCTTGTGTATGCTGGCTGTTCATTTAAGATGTTTCTATAGCATAGTAATTAGTTAGGATAAATAGCCTACGTCTGCATTTAACTCTGAAGTATTTCGTAGCACTGTAAAAGTTTTACAGTGCATTTGAACTTCTAAAAATATGGTGGATAACACGTAAAACTACTGTGAAAATATGGTAAAATCTACTTTGGCTTCAGTTTAAACATATCCTTGGTTCTTAATTTCTTCATTAAGTGAGTTAAATGGTATCCCTATCATATCATGCTATTTTAAACTCATTTAACATTATCTTTAAGGTAAGTTAACCTCCTCAGAGCTAAAACTGTAACACTGAAATCAATCTCAATAGTCACAAATTAATTGTAAGAAAATATACCTCAGAAATGTGAAACGGTGATAAATGCAACATACAAACTTTATTGAACAAAAGTAACAGGTAAAGTCAAACAGGCAATTAATATTAAGAGAAAAACTGACTGGAAGAACTTTTATCTTAAACATCTTAACAGTAACCTACTTGCAGTTGCATTTAACTGAGCTCTGTTGCTGTGAAGAATACAGCTCATGCACAGGTATGGATGAAAGATTTGTACATTTCTCAAGTATTCACTGAATACTACCTTATATACACATATACATTAAATTTGAAAAAGATTTGATATTCCCCAGGTAAACTTCATTTTTGTTGATCTTTTGGAAGAGGTCGTCTAAACAGAAGAATATGTGGTTCTGTGGAAAGAAAATGTTTTGTATCATTTTAATATGGTTTCCATACACTCAACAGAAATTCAAATGCATTCCCAACTAACCCAGAATAAAATAAACTAAGTCCACTATTACCTGGTTTGAGGTATCTAAAATGAATTTTACTTCAAAGTTACTGTCTACAGTAAATAAAGTAAAAGAAAGAAGATTACCTCTTTATAGGGGAAAACACCTCTTTCAAATCACCTACACGATCTCATACTAATGCTAATCCCCACAGATTCTGTTTCACATACCCCAATCCCAAGAAAGTGATAGTCCTTTTAGAGTTTTTGAGGCAATGTTTTTCTTTAACAGCAGAGTAGAAAGCAAGATAGTTTTAGTTCCACCTACTTCAGGTTCTATAGTATGTCTTCAAAGTTAGATTTACTGATAATCCAAAAATAGAATTTAATCAACACTGTTTTAGTATAGTTTACTATTTAATATGTGAAAAACATTTGGTAAATACCACATAATAGCATAAGGTGCCCATAAGCACATTTGAGTTAATACGCTATTGCCTCATTTAAACTTCATGTGGTAGGTAACTATCCTTTAAGAGGGCTGAAGAGTGAATCACTTTAAATTAAATTGATATCCACACATAGAAAAGAACACTTGTCTTAGGATACATTTATAGTAAAATGCTTTGGGATACTTAACTATCAATGATGATACAGATTTTAAAACATATGTTTTTCAAAATTTACTTTTTACATGATTTTTCAAGTAGAATAATGCATTACTTTCACTCCTGTGATATTTTATTTACCAGAAAATTGGAACTCTCTCCAGGGTCAAGAAATTCGTCAGTTAAAAAACAGTCAAGGCTGGGTGCCATGGCTCATGCCTGTAACTCAGCACTTTGGGAGGCTGAGGTGGACAGATCAAAAGGTCAGGAGATCAAGACCATCCTGGCCAACACAGTAAAATCCCACCTCTACTAAAAATACAAAAGAAAAAAAAAATTAGCCGGGCGTGGCAGCACTTGCCTGTAGTCCCAGCTGGTACTTAGGAGGCTGAGGCAGGACAATCACTTGAACCCGGGAGGCGGAGGTTACAGTGAGCCAAGATTGTGCCACTGCACTCCAGCCTCAGAGACAGAACAAGACTCCGTCTCAAAAAAAAAAAAAAATGCCCCCCCAAAAAAACAGTCAATCAGAAGAGTTACTTTGAGGTATCATTCAATGTCAATGATATTTTTAAAATTGATAGCCATACGACCAACATTTCAACAATTAGTGCTTTTACTATAATATAGCAAAGCTTACCTGGCTCATGAATCATGTAATGAACCCAGCCTAGACTCTGTTGGACACCAAGTCTCCTCCACTCCTCTTCAGACATCAGGTGAGTTTTAGGTACTTGTTTGGAAAGTTCTCTGGGTAACATAACATGCCTGTTAAAAGATATAGCCAAGCATTAGTCCAGTTCCTTTTCTACAATTGTCTCTTTATACATGTACCTTTAGCAACTCTATGTTGCTTTAATATTGAGAACTACACACTACTACCTATAATTCTAATTTGTGATGGCCTATGTTCAAATTAGGGAGCTAAGAGTGCACAATTCAAAAGCAGAAGACATTTTCCTTAGGATTAGTTTTTTTCTTTTAACAGAATGCTCACTAGTTGCCTTAATCTTCAGGAATAGATACTCAAAATATAAGCTGAGCATATGGTTACCAGCCACCAAATTATAAGCCAACAAGATGTAAGAGAACATTTAACTTATATGGAAAGTGTTCTCAAAGGGAAAGGACATGATGAACTCTTTCTCCTTCTTGTTGAATGCACATTAATATATGATAAGGGAGCAAGAGCAGGAATCCAGGACCATAGAACCAACTGTAAATTGAGAATGGTAAAGCAACTAGGTAAGGACCCAGCCTAGTCCCTGACTGTAGAGCTGTTATCCCTGCCCCAGATTATTAGATTTTTATGTAAGGAAAAAGTCTGTTACAGTTAATTTGGGTTTCCTCTTACTCAACAACATAGCTTTGTAGTAGCTACTAGTCCTTGTATGCTCCAGAAGTTGCTTTATACTTAAAGTACTTTATTCAAAATTAAAATTAGAAAACCACTAACTTCACATACACATTGTGTGCAACCTCAGTTTTCCAATTAACTTACTTTTATCCAAAACTTACATTGCTCAGTTTCTTAGGCAAGCATGGAATAACCTTCAAAGTTAAACCATCAATATGTACAATTGTAGCCTTATGAAATTCTCAAAAACAAATCATTGCTAATAGCATCCCAAAGCATTTTGTCAAACATTTGCCAAATGAATCTCCTCTCCAAATTAAGAATTTTTACTCAATTATCATTAAAAAGGACTTTATAAAAGTCACAGTTCTCAGCCGCATATCAACCATCTCCAGAAGTAGCAACAGTTTTATAACTGTTTTATACTTTATAACCACCAGCCCAAATTTTTAACCAGTGTAAGATATCTGTCTGAGTCAACTGGCTAGGGATGAATGAGGTACAATATGGTCACATTCAGACACAGTAAACTGAATGCCTAACCTATTAGAAGCACCAAGCCTCGTCAACTTAAATTTAGTCTGTGGCTGGTTATTTAAGTACCAATTTATTTGCAGGGCAAAGTGAACCTCAGAAAAATTCTATTATGTTGCTAGACTGCCTTAAAGCCACCAAGTCATAGCTTACTACCATAATTTGTAGAGTTTTTACCAATTCCAGTGAACTACATGGTGACTTTTAGTAGTTCTTACCAGCTATCACCCACATTCTTGAAATGCTGCTTTAACATCTGACTTTTAAGGCTCTACAAATAAATCTGTTATCTTATTTCTATCTTCTATATTGTTGATTATTCTCAAAGAGAAATGTAGTACTTTTGTGCCTTTTCTTTCAGATTTACAGAATAAGTAAATCTACCAACAAGTTATTTAGATAGAAATTACCACCTTTTTTTCTCCATAAACACAGAAACAGGCTCTCCTCCATCAGCGTTTCTTTATAAAGGAAAATTGTTTAGCAACCAGCCCATAAGAGGATTCTACCTGTATTTTGCCACAGAGATAGTCTGCAAACTAACTACACATAAGGACAATTATTTCCAAAATCTAAAGTTTATTTCAGTCGACATGCAAAACAGTGCTTATTACTAATTTGTAAAGGTGCCCAGAGAAATCCTCAGTTCTTCGCCTGTAAAAACAGACTTCCATGATGTGGGGGTTGGGGGCACCCACTGTTACGCCCTTAGAAACATAAGACCCTCATGTAAAAGGACTAGGAAATTAATTTTGTAATCAAGAAAAATAAAACTGCATACTGGGAAAAATACTATCCTTTGAAATATACATTGCATGCTGCCCCATTATATATTAATACAAACCACCCTAGATTCATGCCTTAGTGTTTTATTATCACTAGTTTCCCCTTTAAAATTATTTGTGGAGATTATCCTGTTTCATAAAGGTTAGTGGCTTGGCCAATTAACACCAGCTCTAATTTTTATTGGATTAAAATAAATCACTTCAGATATGTAAACTTGATTCTATACATTCCACACACAAATCAGTTGAGTATATTAAAACTAAAATATGAACTTACTGCCATCAGAAAGAAGTCTGAGAAGTAGCTTGATTTTCAATATTATGCCCTAAAAGAAACTCGTACCAACTCTTAAATCCTTATCCTAAACACTGGGCACCAGATGCGTTTCAGAATAATTTTCCAGGTTTTAGTAAGGTTATTATGGTTGACATTGCGTTCATTATTGAATATCCTCAATAGGGCTCTTGATTAACATCACATAATTGAACACTAGGCCGGCATATTACACGATTAGAACTGTATAGTTTATTATTACTACAAGGTTAAGACGATCTACTTGAAATTTACCTACAGCCAAAAAAACATGAGATTTTTCCAGCTAGGAATACAAAAGGGTCCAAGTATTACTACCCATAGAAATCTTCAGTATTCCTCATGTGAAAACAGACTTCCATGCTACTAGGGAGGGGGGAAAAAAGAGAAGCCACCCACTGTTTTGTTATTTCTTTCTTAAATAGCAATCGTAGAAATCTAACCTACAAGGGCAGCAGAGAGAAAATCAGGTCGAAATTTGGCCAACGATGGCATGGACTTTACCTCCCCTAAATCCTGGTAGTATCCCAGAATACAACTTTCTAGTCACTGCCTAGTAAGACAAGGGGTTGACTGGTCTTTGAAGCCACGCCCTAAATGAGTGTCCCGCATACAATAAGGACAACAAATTTTAAATGTTCCTATCCCCTACTCCCAGGGACATTTAAAATTTGTCTGATTTTACTGATCGATTATAGCCACTACGTTCTAGTACATCGCTTCAGGACTCAAATGCAAAAGTTCCTCGAAGCCAAAAATTTGGCCAGTGTACGCTAGCAGAAAATAATGCCCAAAGTCCACTCAACTTCTTAATCGGACTTAAAATGAAACTCCTTCAATAATGTCCTCAATTGTATGTCTGCGGCTAACCTATAATGGCCTAAATCACCATACCCAATAAACATTTTCAAATCCCCATCAAGCTCATTTTTCCGAGGTTCCCCTCAAAGCTAGTTCTTAGCACCACTCACTTCAAAAACAAGAAAATGAGGTGTGTTCCTCTATGCTAACAGATGAAAATTACCATTGTAAACCAGAAGCTAGTAAAAGTTCCATCACCCAGGCAGCGAATGGGAAAGTGTGGCATGGCTGCGAACGGAAAACGACGGCTCTAGGTGGGTTTTCCGGGTCTGGTTCAAAGAGCTGGAACTAAAACCAGTTACTGAACGGTCTAATCACTTCTGCCACAGCCGAGAGCAGAGTGACCGGATGGTCGCTCGGCGTCGCCCAGGACCCCGGGCCCCTCAAGTTGCGCTGGCTCCTATCCGGGCACTAAACGCCGCCCGCTGGGCTCTCTTCCCTCACCCTCCGCGTACACCGAACAAAGGCCCAACCGGCCGGGTGCGGCCGCGCACGCAACTTCGGCAGACTGCCCGGGGCGACAGGAGGCAGCGACCACGAACTCCAGCCCTAGCCCTCCGGCCCTGGGCTCCGCCCCCAGGCCCCTGGCCCCCACTCCCTGCTCCGCCTTGGGCGCCCCGCCCGCGTGGGCCCCGGCCGAGGGAGCCGGCTCCGGCCCTGAGAAAGCCGCTCACCGGTACTCGTAGTGCTCGTCGAAGTACTTGTCCGAGTAGTAGATCTGCTTGTGGGCCATCCTGCTGGCGCGCTGATGGAAACGAGAGAGCACGAAGAGCGGGCACAGCAGACAACTCGCACACGTCTCCTCAAAGCAACGACTCGGCAGAGACTAACGACCGCAGTCCCAACGATCCAGATTTGAATCCGACAGCCCGCCTCCGATTGGACAGCAGCGCCGACCAATCACCTTCTGCGGAAGTCACCCGGCTACCAGCCTATCGTCGCCGCCACCTCGCGGTTTCGGCTTCCCGGATCAGCCAATCAGAGACCTGTTGCCAGGTTGTCCGTTGAAAGAAGTGGAGAATAGGTACGGCGCCTTTGACGCGCAGGGGCGTGGCCAGAAGAGGGCGGAGTCGGGACGTTAAGGGCAGTAGAGCCCGTGCGCAGGACCGTGGAATGTTCCAGGACACGGAACCGTTGGAGCGGAGGAGCTGAGGGTGGAGTAAGGTATCACTGGGTTTGGTGATGACGCAGTCGGACGAGGCCGGAAGCGCGGGCCACAAAGCTTTGAACGGAAGCTGTCTGTCTTGCGCGGTTTTGGCGCTCCTCGTGCGGCCTTATATCCCCTCAGGTTCGAGCCAGAAACCTCGGTCCACCTCGAAAAGTAGTAGAAAGCAGAAAGGCTATGCGGTGTGAGGGGGGCGGCTGCGGTGTGGGCTGGGTGAGGGGAGCGCCGGCGGCCGCAGTGTGGCTGTGTCCCGTGCAGCCGTACCGCCTCCCCTGCACTTGCTGAGCTTCCGGCCTGGCCGGTCCGGGGCTCCTGGCGCGCCCCAGGCGAGTGTATGGAGAGTGGAGCCCGCGGAGCCACGGGTAGTGGCGGCAAGCTCCAGTGGTCCCGCCACTCGGGAAGCCGAGGCGGAGGGTCGCTTGAGCCCAGGAGTTCCAGACAGGCCTGGGCAGCAGAGCGAGACCCGGTCTCTACAAAGAAAAAAGAAATGGGCGTGAGACCCAGCGTGCTTTCTGTATCCTAACCTACCGTTCAAAACCAAGGCAGACCCAAGCCATGGAAAGCTTGAGGGAATAAAGTAATATTCTGCGGCGGCTAAGAATAACAGTGCTAATTAGTTCCTGGGTAAGGGGATTAAAAATGATCTTTAAAAACTCTTTTGGTTTCTTAATATTGACCCTAGTTTAAAAACACGTTCGACTGGGCGTGGTGGCTCACACCTGTAATCCCAGCGCTCTGGGAGGGAGGCCAATGTGGGTGGATCACTTGACGTCAGGAGTTCAAGACCAGCCTGACCAACATGGAGAAACCCCGTGTCTATTAAAAATACAAAATTAGCGGGGCATGGTGGCGCAAGCTTGTAACCCCAGCTACTCGGAAGGCCAAGGCAGGAGAATCTCTTGAACGCGGGAGGCGGAAGTGGTGAGCTGAGATCGCGCCATTTCCCTCCAGCCTGGGCAACAAGAGCGAAATTACATATCAAAAAAACAAAAACAAAAAGCACGTTCATAGAAAAGAAAGTTACTGGAAGAAACTTATGCCAAGATGTAAGTAGTGGTTGTTTTTAGATGACAGGATTAAAATGATCTTTCTGGTATTTTTCACATTTTCCACAATGAACACGTGTTATTTTGATATTAATTTCATTTTATGCTAATGGGTTCAGGGTGGCTGTGACTAAGAGACATAGATGGGTGGCTTAGATGAAGTCCCCCAGACTAGATGCTGGAAGTGGGAGGTCTTGGGAGCCAGTGAGGAGAGGGCTCTGTGAGAGCCCTTTTCCACACTGCAGATCACGGACAGGTTTTTGAACAAGTGAGGAAGCAGGCCCTCTAAGGCTATTTATAATCTGGATCCTGAGGGCCCCACTTTCATGACAATCTAATCTTGGTTACCTACCAAAGGCCCCACCTCCTAACTTCCTAATACAATCATTGGGGGGAAGGGGGTGTTTGAAATTCCTTTTTTTTTTTTTTTTTTTTTGGAGCTAGTTTCACTTTGTTGCCCAGGCTGGAGTGCAGTGGTACGATCTCAGCTAACTGCAACCTCGGCCGTCAAGCCCTTCTCCTGCCTCAGGCTTCCGAGCAGCTAGGATTACAGGCCCCCACCAACATGCCCAGCTAGTTTTTGTATTTTTAGCAGAGACGGGGTTTCGCCATGTTGACCAGGGTGGTCTCAAACTCCTGACCTAAAGTGATCCGCCCACCTTGGCCTCCCAAAGTGCTGGGATTGTCATAGGCATGTGAACCAGAGCAACTCCATCTTAAACAGGAGCTGGGTAAGATGAGGCTAAAACCTATTGGGCTGCATTCTTAGAGTGTTAAGGCCTTCTAACTCAAGGATGAAATAGGAGGTCAGCACAAAATACAGGTCATAAAGACCTTGCTGATAAAACAGGTTGCAGTAAAGGAGCCAGTCAAAACCCACCAAAACCAAGAGGGCAATGAGAGTGACCTCTGGTCATCCTCATTGCTGCACTCCCACCAGTGCCATGACAGTTTACAAATGCCCTGGCAACTTCAGGAAGTTACCCTATATGGTCTAAAAAGGGGATGCATGAATAATCCTCCCTTGTTTAGTGTATCATCAAGAAATAACCATAAAAATGGGCAACCAGCAGCCTTTACGGGTCTATGGAGTAGCTATCCTTTTATTCCTTTAGTTTTTAAATAAACTTACTTTCACTTTGCACTGCGGACTTACCCTGAATTCTTTCTCATGCGAGGTCCAAGGATCCTCTCTTGGGATCTGGATCAGGACCCCTTTCTTGTAACAGAATTACAGGCATGAGCCATGGCGCCCGGCCTGGAATTGCCACACACAATTTGGTGGGTAGGAGCACACACATTCATTCACACATGATAGAATCCTTCAGGTGTCAGATTAAGGATTTCATCTTCTGAAAGGCCTTTCTTAATCACCTTCTCTAGAGAAGGTCCCTCAGTTTCCCCATTATGCCCTTGCCACAGACTCCACTTGCCTCCCACTGTTGCAATTGCATGTTTGCTTAGGTGGTGTTTGTCTCCCTACCTCCACTACAAAATACTCTCTGTGAAGCCAGTGCAGAGACCATGTCTGTTTTGTTCACCACGCAGTGCCCAGCACATAGCAGAGTCCCTTGCACACATGATAAGCACACAATGAGAAGTAAATTTTAGGTGCAGTGTAATAACAAGCATAAAAAAATCATATAATAATTACTATGATGGCAAAAATGTGAATAAACTGTTAAGGAAAATGTGCAAGGAAATTACTTTCTGGTAGAACCTGGGGAAAAAAAACTTCCTAGAAGATATATTTTTAAATAAATGTACAGATGCTCCTCAGTTTACAATGGTATTACATCCTGACAGGTCAAAAAATTGTAAGTTGAACCATTGTAAGTCAGGGACCATCTGCATTGTGAAAAGTTTCAAACACATGGAATAATGGAATCAACTCCCATGTACACATTGTGCATCTGAAAATCTGAAATGCTCCAAAAATCCAAAACGTTGAGCAGCACTGACACAATATCAAAGGAGATGCTCATTGGAGCATTTCGGGTTTTCCAATTACAGATACAGAACTGGTAAATAGAGTGCCAATATTCCAAATTCCAAAAAAACCCTGAAACACTTCTGGTCCCAAGTGTTTTGGGTAAGGGATACTCAACCTGTCCCAATCATTTATCTTCAGCAATTACTGTTTGCCAATCATGTTTCATCTGTTCCCCTCTAACTTTTTTTCTAGAGTATTAATGAAAAGATCCCAGATACGTCAGTTCACTCCTAAATAAAACTTTTCAGCGTATGTTTATGGTGTGCATCTTAGGAAAATTAAAAAAAAACAACTTAACAACGTCATTATTACACTTAAGAGGTACTTAATACTCTCTGATAGCTGGGTTAGGCTCACATTTCCCTGACTGCCCCACCAGTGCTTTTTACAGTTAGTTTGTTTGACTCTGCTTTCAAACTTGGGCCTACATCTTGCATTTTGTTATCATCTCTTTTAGTCTTCTTTAAACAACCCTCCCACCACCCTCCCCACACATACCCCTGCCACCTTTTTTTTTAACATCAGTTTGTCAAACCAGGTCATTTTTGCCCGTGGAACGTTCCGCATTCTGGATGTGTGTAATTGTTCCCTTGTGGTGCAGTTTTCCTGGTTTTTCTATTTCTTGTATTTGTTACAATCTGGCATTTAGATCTAGGTTAAAACAAAAGAATTTACCAAAAATCGCTAGTAAGGGGCAGACTCATATTTGAACCCAAGCAGTCTGACTCCAGAGTTCGGCCTCTTAACCACTATTCTGTTGTGTCTCTTAGAGTTCCACAGGTAGACAACCAGGAGGGCCAGCACCATTTCAGTAGAAGTACTGGCAGTTGTGAAGGCGTGAGGAAACATGGTACACACAGAAAATGCTGACCAGGTTGGGCTTAGACTGTAAAAATCATGGAAAGGAAAGTATGGGAAGTGAATGCAGGAGGTTGAATGTGGTAGACAGAAAAATGCCTGTCTTTGTCCATTTTCTGTTGGTGTAAAGGACTACCACAGCCTGGGTGATTTATAAAGGAATGAAATTTATTTCTTACAGTCTTGAAGGCTGGGAAGTCAAAGGGCCACATCTGGTGAAGGCCTTCTGCCACATCATAACATGGTGGAGGGCATCCCATGGAGGGAGGGCAAAGGCAAACTGGCTGAGGTATCTTTTCCTCTTCTTATAAAGCCATCAGTCCCATCATGGGATCCCCACCTGGATGACTAATCTTAATTACTTCCCAAAGGCCCCACCTCCAAATACCATAAACGTGAATTTGGGGATTAAGTTTCCAACACATGAAATTTGGAGGACACATTCCAACCACAACAGTGTTTGTGTCCTAATATTTGGTATTTGTGAATGTTACCTTACACAGCAAAAGAGGCTTTACAGGTGTGATTAAATTAAGGATTTTAAGATCAGGAGGTTATCCTGGATTATCAGAGTGGTCAAATGTTATCACAAGGGGCCTTAGAGGAGGGAGACAAGAGGGTCTGTGAAGGAGCTGGGATGAAAACAGAAGACAGAGTAATAAGACCACGAGGCAAGTGCTGCAGGCAGCTTTTTGAAGCTGGAAAAAAGAAATAGATTTCTTCCTTAGAGTCTCCAGAGGGAACTCAGTCCTGCTGACATAATTTTAGCCTGGTCAGACCTATTTTGGATGTCTGACCTCTGTACCTATAAACTACCTGTGACTAATGGAATATAAACAACATCCCACTATGATGTTCACTGCAGCTTTGTAATTGTAGATGCCCTTTCTCGTTTTAAGGATTTTTTCATTCCTAGCTTGCTGAATTTTTATCATAGATACTGTGTTTCATCAAATGCTTTAAGCCTTTTAGTTTTGTACTTAAATAAAAATTATTTTACAACTATGAATATAAGTTGTAAATATAAAAAAGCTAAAAAGATTTCCTTAAGACTGCAGTCTTAAGGAAAAGTCACATGGAAACATTGAAAACTAAATAGTTGAAATAAAAAATTTGATAAGTAAACTGAATGCACAGTGGATACAAATAAAGAGCTAATTATCAAACTAGAAGACTATGTCGAATACCAGCCCCAGAAAGCATTAGGAAAGAATAAAGAGATGGAAAACATGAAGTAAAAAGACATGGAAGCTAGAGGTAGAGGTGACAACTGTCATTAAAGAAGGTTCCCAAAGGGAGAGAAAAAATGAACAGAAGGGAGGAAATACTTGTACAGGTAACGGCTGTGAATTCCCTACTTTTAAAGAAAGATAAAATGCTTTCTATTGAAAAGGCGTATAGAGTGCTGAACAGTATAGATAAAAATATATAACCACAGAAAGATTATGGTGCAATTTAAGAAGATCAAAGACAAAGGAAAATTCTAAAAGCTTCCAGGAAGAAATTGCAGATCACCTACGAAGCAGCAAGAATAGGTTGACAGTCCAAATCTCAAAAGCCTCACTGGATCCAAGAAGTAAATGGGTTACTGTTTATAATGTATTGAATAAAAGTAAAAACGAATTTACTACAACAATGCAAAATATACTGGAAATAAAGCAAAGTTTTGCTGTTGTCTGAAAAAGCATAGATGTAAATGATGTTAGCAATTCAGAAACCAACATGGCTAGAATAGAGAGGTTAAGAGGGAAGTTAGTGCATGCTAAGGCATTTATCTTTGCAGCTGCTGATAAATTTAGGAAGTTGAAAGAGATTAGGAGTCCATTACCAGAACTATTGGCTACATACAGTTGATTTGTTTCTGTTACCATCTGCAATAGCAAAACTAGATGTTTTCAAGTACTGCGTGCCTCCTTGGGGTAGATTTGAACTTATTGTCACAAATACGTTCCTTCCTAGTATGCATGCCCCTTTGCGAAGTTACTTCACTGCTCTTTCCAATAATAGGTGAAATCTATTTCTTCACCCTTGGTCTGGTCTTATGACTTGCTTTGGCCAGTAAAATGTGGCTGAAGTGATGTTACACCACTTCTAAGGCTAGTCCTTAAGAGACATGGCAGTTTCTACCTTCCCTGTCTTGAAAGGCTGCCTGAATGTGATGATCAGGAAGACACACAGACTAGAACTAAGTTCCTTGTGTATCATTAGCACCAGCTGCTAAATGTGTGCCTACTGTAAGAATTAAAGGAGAGAAACACGAAGGGTGGCTTGACAGTCAACAGGCTTATTTCAAACTTGGGTGAGACTTCTGACTGAGTTAGGTCAGAAGCTGCACTCTCTTATACACTAAGAGTTTTTAAGGAATCGGGGTGGGAGATATCAGAGGCTTGGACTGCTTCTGTGTCTCTTTGTTGTGCTTATCTGGGAGGGAGAGTTGTGTGTCTGTTCCTGTACATCTTTCTGCAGCTGCAGGCATATCCCCCCGAGTCTGCTTTTAGCGCCCCTATTTTAGTGCACCTGAAGGAAAAGGAATGTGCTTATTAAGTCCCACTGTTTTGCTGGGTCCCATTGTATAAGGGTGAAGTTTGGCAGTTACCCAAGAGACTATCCCCCAACCTCCCTCCATGCCCGAGCTGTCTTCTCTATGTTTTGCTGTCTGCTCTTTCTGCTGCTTGTAGTTAGAAGAGAAGTGATTTCCTTAAAATGCACGGGATTAGAAAGAGAGCTGGAATTTAAAGTGGCAGTGTTTGTCCAAGACGACAGTTGTCTTGCTCTATCGTTCCAGACCCTATAGTTATAAAAAGGACAAGGGGCAATGTGTTCTTTCTGGCTACTTCCTGCTGATGGTGGGGGGCGGAGTGTTTTTTTGGTCTTGGATTGACTGCAGGAGCAACACTGTCTGTAGATGTTTTTGGGTAGTTGTCTGCAAAATGGCCATGATTCTGTTGGTTAAAAATTTTTGAAAAAGGTTAATTAGGCAGTGTAAAAACATTGGTCCTAGGTTTTTCAGCAGAGTTTTTTATTAGGCCTGATTGGTTGAGACAGAAGCAACATTTCTTTCCTAATGACAGGCAGAGGTGCATGTTTGGAAAGACCCATGTGTTATTTTTTGTTAGTAACTGTTATTCCTGCTGTGAGGATGATAATTAAGCAAAATACGACAGTAATTGAGATTCTCTGTTCGATATTCCACCCTGAGGGTGGTATAGTATATAGTCCTACTGCAAATAATAGAGTGAATAAAGCAATTCCTGCAAGGATGACATAGTAAATAATTTCCATTAAAAAAGGTTTTAATATTTGGCTTAAAAGGAGAGGTAGAAATGATAAAAAGTATTTGGTGAGGTAGGGTTGAGACTGAGTAGGATGAGTAGTTTTTACTTAGTTACTTATCTTTTATGATTGTCAGCTTACGATTTTTTTTTTTTTTTTTACATGGCTAGGACATTTTTTTGGGCTGTTAGAGATTGCTTTTTCAGTCCTTTAGGCTTTGACTTGAGTGTAATGTATCCAAGAGTTGATTTCTGTAATGGATATAATTTAAACTGTAGAGAATAATGAAAAACATTAGGCAAGACTAGAATTTTTTTTTTTTTTTTGAGACAGAGTCTTGCTCTGTCGCCCAGCCTTGAGTGCAATGATGCAATCTCGGCTCACTGCAACCTCTGCCTCCAAGGTTCAAGCGATTCTCCTGTCTCATTCTCCTGGGTAGCTGGGACTACAGGCAAATGCCACCATGCCTGGCCAATTTTTGTATTTTTAGTAGAGATGAGGGTTCACCGTGTTAGCCAGGATGGTCTTGAACTCCTGACCTTGTGATCTGCCTACCTCAGCCTCCCAAAGTGCTGGAATTACAGGCGTGAGCCACAGCGCATGGCCAAGACTAGAATTTAACAAGTGTGCTATAGTTTTGGAAACATTAATTTTCACTCTTCAGTTTTCTGTTTTTATTAAAAGACAAATCATGGTAGGATTGGTTTGCTTTATTATACTTGGCTTAATTATTATATACAGTGTATCAAGAATAATTATTTGCTACATAGGCTTTTTAAATTGGCTTTGATGGAACTTTATTATATAGAAGGAATTTGAGATAAGACACATTAAAGCCCAGCCCAGCCATGAATTTGTACCATTAAATAGCTGAGTTGGGTGAATTCGTCTCCTCCTGAGGTTCTAAGATAACTTGGGGTTCCTGGGCTGTCAGAAAGTAACATTCTTTATTTACCACAGATCAGAAACCCTGAACAGGGACTGTGTACACAGAATATGAGGCCAGTTTCCAAGGGCTTTCTTGGCTTCATACGTGAAGTTCAATTCCTTAAAGGAGAGCATACCATTCCAGTCAAAGCCTTGGTAAAATAACCAATTTCTTCAATTGTATTCTGTTACAAAAGAAAACAGATTCTTATTGCACTGATACCAACAACTATATTGTTGTAATTTAAGAATACTTAGTTTTCAAATTCTAGAGGAACTAGGCAGAGGAAAACAAACACGCTTTAAATTCTATTTACAGGAGTATATTTTACTTAGTTAAAGGCTGTAGCTAGATTAAGGCAAATTTTCTTGACTCTGAAAAATAAGATAAAGGTTAGCAGTGTTCTAAGCAAAAGGTAGAAATTTGTTTTTGTTTTCTATTGGTTTAGTCCATTTTATTAACCTTTGCTTGCTTGATATTTATAAACATTTTTGCTTTTCATGAATTCTGTTTGCTTTGTTGTTGTTGCTGTTGTGAGTAAGGTTACCGACTTATTTTGTAATTTGGGCAAAGTAACTCTCAAATATAATGCTTTTTAAAAAATCCTAATGCTTGAGTAAAATCAGAAGGTGAGTGCTTAGGTAGAAATAAGTAACTGCTGAACCAGTGGAAGCAAAGTTCAGTTGGGTAATACACTTTATGATACGGACAAGTCAAGTCTTATTTGTTCCAAAAGTGCTGGCTTTATTTCTGTAGTCACAGAATAGTGTAAAGGCAAGGCTTACCCAGCTCCTGGCTCCCACGTGAACATTACTCAGTATGCCAGATTTTCTTAAGGTGCACTAGCCACTCAGGACATTTTTACTGGTGGGAACTGAGATTTTCTAGATGCCTAAATTAACAGCTAATGCTGGTTTATCTTTGGGACATGCTCATTGAAACATTGAAACAGTATTATCACTCAACTTGAATCCTAGCTTTTGTTCCCTTATTATCTTGTTAGAGTAATGAATATATTTATACAATGAAGACAACTTTCTTTTGCTTTTTTAGGTTAGAGCTTCAGCATGAGAATTATACTTTGACATAGAAAATCAGGTCTACAAGTGAAATATAATAAAGTATTCTGGAAAGAAGGAGACTCTACCTTATAACCACAATAGAAAAATACACGGCAGTAAGGCCTGGTTCCTTCTTCTCTCATTGCTTTGTGATTTTTTTCCTCCACTTTTGGGAACTAAAATCTCTTTGCTTAAATGCTGAATTTATAAACTGAAACAGACTCTTGGGTTTTGTTATAAAGGCAAAGTAATAATACTTCTCTATATATTATAGGGTTATATAGTATAATAACTTGAATCCATGGTTGGAACTGACTGAACCTACATAGATACTAATCTGAATGACTCATATATAGAAAATGTGCAATATTCTAAGTATAAAAAAATTAAACTGGACAAGTTTTATTTTTGAAATTAGATTAGAAAATGTTACATAACTTGGAACTTTAGTAGTGTATACTTTTGTTTTGTAATATAAATGAAAATAACCTAGATGGCAAACTATTCCATTATCTGGGCAGAAATTATAAATGGAAGATGTACTCCAGAGCTATACGACTGAGGGACATTTCAACTTGAATTCCCCAGTGGCAAAAGTAGTATATAAACTAATGCTAGTGTATATACATTGGGTCCTTATTGCTGCGTCCTATCTCCATTGGTTGGAGTTAGACCTCACAGTCTAAGCTAAACCCAATTGGCTAACAACTTAAAACTTTCCTAAATAGGTAAAGGCAATGGAGAATGAAAGGAAAAGAGGAAGTTGCTTGCAAAAGGACTTAGAAAGGTAATAACATTTCCAAATAAGGAAGGGTCATAGGCTGTGAGCTGGGACATGCCTGAGCATGTCCAGAGCAAGCATCTTGGTTAAAGTACAAGGAGATAGAATGTAATTACTCTCTTATTAAGATAGGGCTTAACGAAGAGTTATTAGCAAAACAACACCAAAAAAAAAAGCCAAAAACAATAAGGCTTTGAAGGAAGTTAGTCTTTAAAAGAAACTATCATTTCTAACATTTATTACTTATTCTTTAACAAGAAGGGAAACTTTGAAGAGGAACTTTTTACTTTCCACATAGACTTTTTGATAGTTCTTGTTATTTAATCTTTTCAAGAACATATATATACTATGTCACACGTTTGGCTTGAAAAAAATTTTTTTTTTCTTTTGAGATGGAATCTCACTTTGTAACCCAGGCTGAAGTGCAGTGGTTCAGTATCAGCTCACTGAAACCTCTGCCTCTCGGGTTCAAGTGATGCTCCTGTTTCAGCCTTCTGAGTAGCTGGGATTACAGGCGTGTGCCACCATGCCTAGGTCATTTATTGTATTTTTAGTAGTGACGGGGTTTTGCCATGTTGCCCAGGCTGGTCTTGAACCCCTGAGCTCAGGCAATCTGCCCACTTTGGCCTCCCAGAGTGCTAGGATTACAGGTGTGAGCCACCATGCCCATCCTTGATTTTTAAATATTTTGATAACTGTTGCTATAGACTGAATCATATCCCCCCAAATCCATATGTTGGTGTTCTAACCCCCATTGTGACTGTATTTGGAGACAGGGCTTTTAAAGGTAATTAAGGGTAAATGAGGTCATAAGAGGCCTTAATCCAATAGGATTGGTGGTTTTCTAAGAAAAGGTTCTCCCCCTCTCCCACCTGTTCCCCTTCTCTGCACTAGCAAGCACTAAAGAAAGGCCATGTGAACACACAGCAAGAAGGTGGCCTTCTGCAAGCCAGAGCCCTCACCAGGAACTAACTCTGTCAGCACCTTGATCTTGGATTTGTAACCTTCAGAAGCATGAGAAAATAAATTTCTGTTGTTTAAGCCACCTAATCTATGGTATTTTGTTATGGCAGCTCAAGCTGACTAATACAACTGCATTTTCGTACAATTGGTTTTGTTCTGAATATGCATTTTTTTAACATATTTAAAATACTGTTCTGAGAAGGGGTTTGTAGGCTTCACCAGACTGCCAAAGGAGTGCATGGCATAGAGGTGGATAAGAACCCTTGGGCTCACTGGGTTTTATGGGTGAGCCTGTGATTTTCCTTGCTTTTCTCTACTTTGGAGGCTGGAAATTAAATCACTCAACTCCCCAGCCTCTCTTGCAGTTAAGAACAGACACATTTGTGAGCTCTGGTCAGTGAGGGATAAGAGGGGACTGATGAGATGTTCTATGGGAGAAATTTCCTTCTGGAATAGAATGAAAAAGCCTTTTGAGCATAGACATCTTTGCGTTTCTTTGCCTGTCTTTCTGCCTGGATCATGATGCAATGTCTAGATGTGGAACAAAAATTTTGCAGTTCTCAAAGTTGCACGTCAAAGATAGCAGTTTTGACAGCAACCTGGAGCTGATGCATTGATCTTGGACTGACCACTTTTAGATGTTTTGTCAATTGAGGAAACTCAGCACATTTGGCTAAGCCTCTGTAATTCCATGTCTGTTATTTGAAGCTTAAAGTAATGCTGACTGATAATCCTGGCAAATTAAGACCCATGTCTAGCAGTGTTTTTCAAACTGGGATCCCTGGACACCCAGAATCTATTAATATGTTCTTAAGAATTTGAGAGCTCTGAAAGAATTCTGTCAGTGTTGTGTGCTCATGTTGACAATAATCCAAAATATATACATACAAATAAGAATATATTTGTCTGTTATAAATCCTAAAGTCTCTTAGTCTTTTTTTTTTGAGATGGAGTTTCTCTCTTGTTGCCCAGGCTGGAGTGAAATGGCGCAATCTGGGCTCCACCTCCCAAGTTCAAGCAATTCTCCTGCCTCAGCCACCGGAGTAGCTGGGATTACAGGCATGAGCCACCACGCCCGGCTAATTTTATATTTTTAGTAGAGACAGGGTTTCTCCATGTTGGCCAGGCTGATCTTGAACTCCTGACCTCAGGTGTTGCAACTGCTTTGGCCTCCCAAAGTGCTGGAATTACAGGTGTGAGCCATTGAGTCTGGCCTTTTCTTTTTCTGTTACTTTTTTTTTTTTTTTTGGAGAGAGTCTTGCTCTGTTGCCCAAACTGGAGTGCAATGGCAGGATCTTGGCTCACTGCAATCCCTGCCCCCTAGGTTCAAGCGATTCTCCCTTCTCAGTCTCCCGAGTAGCTGGGATTACAGGTGTGTGCCACCATGCCCAACTAATTTTTTTTGCATTTTTAGTAGATACGGGGTTTCACCACGTTGGCCAGGCTGGTCTCAAACTCCTGACCTCAAGTGATCCACCCACCTCAGCCTCCCAAAGTGTTGGGATTACAGGTGTGAGCGACTGTACCAGCCAGCCTCTTAGTCTTAATAGGTGATAATTTGCACTTACAAGACATTTTTATAGACTAAGACTTTAAGTCCATGTTGTTCAAGCTAGGATCTATTGTAGGGATGTGGACATGCATTTATCGGCATTCTTGAGAAATTATTTTTATTCTAATGATAGGGTCCTTATTTATTGAGTTGTAGAAAAACTGATTCATGACAAAACTCCTGGGAAAAGTTCAATTTGAGTTCCAAACTAACAACTGAAAAATGAACTTCCAGAAAGCAATCCCATTCATCAATCAAGGACAGCCATGGCAGAGTTAAGAGCATGGGTTTTGAAGTCCACAGATCTTGACCCATGTGCTGACTTATGAGCACTTTCTGGCTCAGTGACCCTTGACATGTTCTGGAACTTTATGGACCTTCAGCATCTTCATGTGGGATGATAGCTATCCTTACTTTACAGAGTTGTAACAATTAAGTGATGAGTATCAGGTGCTTCACAGAGTATAGTACACACAGACATGCAATAAATGCTGATTACCATTCTGTTTTGATATCAAATACCTAGTGAAGAATCACATTACAATCGCTTTTTATTATTGGCTAGCCTAAAGTCATGGGACAGAGAAGGTGAATAGCAAAACAGAAAGAAAAGGGGGAAAAGGTAGAAGGCAAGGGGAAAACTGGGGACCCTCTCTTATTTTTGTTTTAGAGCTTTATCCTGGTCCTGTCAGTGATCAGATAAATGGAAGGATCAAAATTAGACCAAACTTGGTATTGGGTCAAAATTGAACCAAAGTTTGTGGCAAGAAGACTTGGGCAGAGATATGTGACTAAATCACTTGGAATATACCCAGAGCCCAAGAATATTTATGCCCAATATGAATGCTAACCAGAAGCCCCTTAGTGTAGAGGGTTGTAAGGTTGTTGTTTTTTGCCGCTGACAGCAAATATTGATGTGTTTTTCAACACCAATTCTCCAATTTTCTGACACCAACTGGGTGTTCAACAATTCAATTATATTCTGTCACTAATTCCTGCAGCTACCAGCAGGCCCCACAGGTAAAGGCCTCAGTCTCACAAGATTGCTCCCCAACTTCAGTTGCCAGCTACAATGGGGTGCCCAGACTATCCACACTTCTGCCTAGCTGACTACAGGTTTTGGGGTTCCCATGACCCTTTTCTCAGTTTTGATAATATGCTAAAACTGCTTACAGAACTCAGGCAGACATTTTACTTACGTTTCCCGGTTTATTATAAAGGCTACAACTCAGAGACAGCCAAATGAAAGCCATGCATAGAGCAAGGCATGCCGGGTAGTTGGTGGCACAGAGCTTCCAGGCCCTCTGTAGGCCTGCCACCCTCCCGGCACCTCCGTGTGTTCACTGACCCAGAAACTCATCACCTACCATTCAGGAGGCTTTATAACCCACTTTTAGGCCCCTTCCATTTGTGGGAGGCCAGTGGGTGAGGCTGAGAGTTCCCACCCTCTTTAGTTTTTCTGGTGACCAGAGGCTAGTTAGAACCATTCTAAGTCATTACATTAACATAAACTCAGGTGTAGTACTAGATATAGTGGAATATGGCTTGTTATGAGTAACGCCATACACTACCCTCACCCAGGAAATTCCCAGGGTTTTAGAAGTTCTGTGCCAGGAATTGAGTACAAAAATCAAATAGATTTGTGTATATCACAGAGAAATTCAAGGTAAGCTGAATGACTGTTTAGTCCATTTGGGCACTGGAACAGAATACCTGAGACTGGGTAATCCCTAAAGAATAGACATTTATTTCTCACAGTTTTGGAAGCCGTCTGATGGTGGCCTGATCTCTGCTTACAAGATGGCACCTTGAACACTGCATTCTGCAGAGGGAGGACACTGTTCTTCACATGGCCAAGGAATTGTTGGGGGTGAGGACCAAACTCACCTTTGTATAACGAGCCCACTCCCACAATAATGCTATTTACTCATTCATGAGGGCAGAGTCCTCTTGGCCTAATCACCACTTACAAGGGCCACCTCTTAATACTATTACAATGGCAGTAAGTTTCCAACACATAGTCTTGGAGGGAACACATTCAAACCATAGCAATGACCAGTTATGAGAAGATCCTTCTGCTATCTTGGACTTAAAAACATGGACATTTATTTATAAAACACACCTGACCAGCACCGAGTCTCCTGTTTGCCAGCAAGATAATCCAATCCGTAGCTCCCTACTTGGCATCAGATTCACCTCGGGATGCACTTGCTGGATGTCGTGTTGGGTTGTGCTCTACTGGGGAGCAGTGGGGTCCTCAATCTGAAGGCTCATGAGCAATGCATAACCATGTTTAGCCAGAAACCCTCTTGGAAATATTTGTATGGAAAGAAAGTTCTAGATGTGTGTTGGCAAGGCAAGGGGTTTCCCAACTTTATTCTTCACTCCATGAGATTCTTGGGCTGCCAGTCCAAGGGTCTTTGTTCCTGGACCACAGGAAGTGATAATGCAAGTTCGAATAAGAACAGCTCTTTGGTTTTTTTCAGGAAAGTGAATCTTTAAGAATAGAGACACCCAGAGATGGAAGGCAGCTAGAATCACAGCAGCCTGAGGTGACAGTATAAGAATCCTTATTCCTGAGAATTTGGGGTTTCCGTGGCTCCCTCCCCTTGGCCTGATTGTTCAGATTGACCATCAATTTCATGAGTTACCTATTGCTGCTCCAGCAAATTTCTTTTTTGCTCCAGTTAGACTGAGGTTAATGCCTATACCAAATAACCACAATTGATGCTTTTTTCTATTTTACTAAAGCTAATCATTTATATGGTAGTCTTAACATATAAGGTTGTGTATATCACGAGGGCAAGATCAAATCTTGTTCATTTTTGTCTCTCCAGGGCCTGCACAATGCTTGGTTTGTAGAAGGTACTGAATAGCTCTTAATTGTATTAACGAGTATGTTTTTTTGTTTGACTGATCTTTGGAAAACTTATTTGTCTATTACTTAAGTGGCCATCTCTGTCCTGACCTATACTTTTCCTTCTGGTGCTACTTGTGATCTGAAATAGCCACAGAAAACCAAATGAGAAGAGTAAGTGTGCTGTGAGAATGGTTTTGAGGGACTCTTATGAGGATTATAGATAGTTAAAGAATTTTATGTTATTTATTCTCACTACCCAGATATATTTTACTCTAAATTTCTGCCAGCATGCTGGTTTGTTTGGATTTGCAAGACTAGAATTTTCCAGCAGAGCAGAGTGTTGTTAGAACTTGTATTCCAAGCTTCTCTAGAACTGGAAACCTCCTTGGAGTGACCCTTGAAGGCAATGGACTTTTCCCAGGTAGTGGCAATGGGAAATCACTTGTCTGAGAATCATGGAAACAGGTGGGAAGACTTCGATTACAGCATGGGGTCATCTTCTATTCCAGGAAATGTTGGCCATTTTCTAGTTAAATTTGTTCATGCTTTTTAGGTCCTAGCTGTAGTCTTCAGAGATAGTTGAAAATTAGCTGGTCTAAAACATGTTTCTGGCAACCAGTGAGCCATCACATCCGGCCTTTTTTTTGAGATGGTGTCTCCCTCTGTTGCCCAGGCTGGAGTGCAGTGGCACAATCTCAGCTCACTGCAACCTCCGCCTCCCGGGTTCAAGCTAGTCTCCTGCCTCAGTCTCCCAAGTAGCTGGAATTACAGGTGTCCACCACAACACCCGGCTAATTTTTGTACTTATATTAGAGACAGGGTTTCGCCATATTGGCCAGACTGGTCTCAAATTCCTGACCTCAAGTGACCCGCCTGCCTTGGCCTCCCAAAGGGCTGGGATCACAGGTGTGAGCCACGGCGCTCAGCCAGTTACACTTTAAAGATTGAGAAAGTCTTGACTTGTTTCATGCTGCTATAACAAAATACCCTGACACTGGGAAATCTATAAAGAACAGACATTTATCACAGTTCTGGAGGCTGGGGCATCCGGGATCAGGGCACCAGCATCTGATGAGAGCCTTCTTGCTGCGTTCTCATGTGGCAGAAGGCAGAAGGGCAAAAGGGGGAAAACTCTGTCTTCACACTGTCGAAGAGCAGAAGAGAGAGAACCACTTCTGCAAGCCCTTTTTAGAATCACATTCATCCATTCATGAGGGCAGAGCCCTCACGACCTAAGCACCTCCCATTTAGGCTTCACCCATCAACACTACTGCACTGGGATTAATTTTCCAACTCACGAATTTTGGCAGACACATTCACACCATAGCAAATGATCATGGAGGCACCATAGCAAATGATCAACACTAGTATGTGCCAGAACTTCCCAAAGGATTCGTTACAAATACAGGTTCTGGGGCCCGCCCCCGAAGGATTCCGATTTAGCGGAACCCCAAAACCTGCATCATTCATAAGCACCCCATGTGATTTTGGGTTGTGGTTGTTCACTGGATCACACTGAGAAATTTCATGAGTGTGACTTCACAGACCCAAGATTTGTGCTCAAGACTTTTGTCTTGCAAACCTTT